TAATCGAGAATCATACCACTAGACCAAATGCCCTGTTTTTGAATTAGTTCCCATTGAAGAATTGTGTTGTTGTGTAATCCTGAGGAAAAGAGAATTCATGCTTCACTCCGTTAGTACAGGAAATATACTCTTGGGGGATTGTTTACCTTTTGAAGGTTCTATTCGTGATGAAGCTGGCAACATACAGTAAGTTCAAGCTATTCTTTAACTTATATATTTGAATCTGATATTAGAATGCTTTCTTGTTTTGATTATCTTAAGAAAGAAATGATGTTTTAGATCAGTTCTGTTAGTTGACTTTCAGGGCTTAATAGTAAAGGTGGATTGTCTATATTTAATATTGATGAACTGTTAGCTGATATTTAGAACATTGTTTTACAAAAAGTCAAATGGGGCATTCCGAGAATTGAACTCGGGACCTCTCGCACCCTAAGCGAGAATCATACCACTAGACCAAATGCGCTGTTGTTTATGCAATCTGTTTCAAAAAATTTTGTGGTCTTCTAGACTTTCTTTAAAAAGGAGGCTGAAGTACGAAATGTATACTAGTTGAAGCTGCAGAGGGGAGGTGTTGTCTGATTGAAGAGATCAAGTCTTTGGATGTGAAAGCGAAACTTTGGTGTTACACCAAGTCCTTTAGTAATCTCGAAAATCATTCCAAGAATTCCAGGAGCTGAAGTCGTAGACCTAAACGCCGGACCACATGCCCAACTCATTGATACCTTTCACTTAAAAATGGTAACGATCTGGTCCTTTGTTTGTTGAAACGTTAAAATCATCGTTTAAGAGCAAGTAGTGTTGTTTCTAATCTGCTCATGCTTAAATTTGGTAAATGATTAATGTTCAATTGTTGAAATCTGAAGCTCATTGATAATTCACAGCGACGTCATTGCCTCATCGGGCATGTAAGCAAAGGTATGTTAAAGTTCTGGAAACATGTGATTTGACCATAGAGCTATACCAAATTCTTGGTTATTGACTACTTTTGTTAAGATCATATAGAATCCCCAATAAAAGTCCATTGGCAATTGATTTCTTGTCGCCTAACTTATATTAATATGGATTTAATCTATCTCTATAGGTTTGGCTTTACTAGCCTAAATTTATGTCTAGTACTATTAGTTGACTTTGAGGGCTTACAGTGAATGTGATTTGTCTGTAATTTCTAATAGTTGTTGAAACATTACACAAAACCACAAAATCTTGAATTGCTGAATGTTTATCTATAAAAGATCAATAAAATATCTAAAATTCAAATTTATATGTAAAATTTTGTTACCTGAAATTTAGTCCATAAGATATAAAAGTAAATATTGAAAAAATATTTATAAGATTTTCTAAGGGAGATAAAATATTACATTGGCGTGATAAAAATCCGGAGACATTAAAGTAGAAATACAAATACGTAAAACACAAAAACCCTAGAACAAAAGATTATGATTCGTGTGTGACGTAATCGAGAAGGAACCTTAAAAACGTCAGTGATATTTTTATTTTTTCCCGTCTCTTAAAAACGGCAGTGATAACATTAAATTGGGATGGCTTGAGTTTGGTGTTACATCCAAATCCGGTTATATAAATATAGGGTTAAACTGTTGTGTGCGAATCAAAAGAGAGAAAATAGGGCACATGAGTTAGAGGTGAGTCTCCTAATAATCCTAACAAACTAATAACATATGCCTTCCTACAATAACTCCTCCGGTAGTCTCGCCCTGGCCGTTTCTCTTCTCTTTGCCGGCGCCTTATATATCTGTTTCTCATCACGTTCAGCTTCTGACCCTATCTCCGATGGCCTACACAATGTAGACACTGTAAGTTGATTCATATAATATATTTGGAATTCTAGGGTAGATATATATAGGAAGATTTTAAATATTTTGAAGTGGTGACAGAGATGGACAGAGTATCCGGTGGACGAGCTAGAGGCGGTCCTAGACCAGGCAGCGACGGGAAACAACAAGACGGTGATAATAACAATGGTGAACAAAGCTTACGTAGACGAGGTTGGAGGAGGGAGGACGATGATGGATCTGTTTTTGGAGAGTTTTTGGGAAGGAGAGGGGACTCGGCCGCTTCTTAACCATCTGATGGTAGTGGCAGCAGATCAGACGGCCTACGATCGCTGCCTCTTCAGGAGGCTCCACTGCTACAAGATGGATACGCAAGGGGTTGACTTGGAGGGAGAGAAAGTATACATGTCAAAAGATTTCATTGAGATGATGTGGAGGAGGACTCGCTTGCTCCTAGACGTCCTCAGCCGCGGCTACAATCTTATTTTCACGGTTAGGTCCGTCCCTCTTATTTGGAACATATAGTTAAACACTTAATTTGTTTCTCAACAAGTAGTGTATATATGTATGTCAGGATACGGACGTGATGTGGCTAAGGAGCCCTTTTTCCCGGCTAAGCAACAACGAGAGCTTGGATATGCAGATAAGTGTGGACAGTATTGGCGTGGGAGGACACCTGATCAACACGGGATTCTACCACGTCCGGTCCAACAACAAGACCATCTCCCTCTTCCAGAAATGGTACGACATGAGGCTCAAGTCGACGGGCATGAAGGAACAAGACGTCCTTAAGCAGCTCCTCGACTCCGGCTTCTTTGACCAGCTTGGCCTCAACGTTGGCTTCCTCAACACTACCGAATTCAGTGGCTTCTGCCAAGACAGCCCTGACATGGGCGTTGTCACCACCGTCCACGCCAACTGTTGCCGCTACATCCCTGCTAAGATATCTGATCTCACTCTTGTTCTTCATGACTGGAAACACTACAAAGCCTCCCGTGTCAACAGCAAGTGGAGCCCCCATGTTGAGTGCAGGCGTTCATGGAGTGAGGCACACTACATCCCCAAGATCCCCAAGCTCTGACCTTCTTCGTTCATAGATGCAAATTATATAATGAGATTTCTAAAGTATACACAACTCCATTATCTTTTATTAAGTACATATCTTCTTTAGATTAATCCTAGCTAGCGAGCTAGAGGAGCAAATCTCTTTTGACAAGTAATTACAAAACATCTGATATCTGTGTTACAACAAGATTGTTTTTCGCACTTAGTTCCAGCTACACGAATAATTGCTAGCTACTTGAAAATGATCAGCACATAGAAGACGAGAGTTCCAAATCCAATGCACAAGTTGGTGGATAAACCAAATGAGAGAGAGAACTGGTGCACCCAAAGTAAGAAATATCATACCAGTAGACCAAAAGCTTTGTTGTTGATGTAAAACTTAAATACATGATTTCTCTTGTATTTTGTGGAAATCAAATGATGTAGCATACAAAACTGTTTTCTGTACAGCCAGTGTGAGTCATCGGATGTGAAAGAAAGGTAATTTGTGGATCCACTTTTTTGGGTGAAACTTCAGCACTTGATTTCTGAAAGTCTTGATGGGGAATTGTTATGCTTCTTGATGTAGATATTTCAAAATTTTAATTACATATCATGTTGATTACACTTTAATTTACATATTATGTTAAATTTACAATTGTGAAATGATTACGGAAAAACTATCTAGGGTATTACCATTCCATACTCATAGACAACTTGATAATTAGTTGAACCAATTGGTCATTGCGCAATCGTGGCTATCAACAAGAGATGAGCATGGATTGGTAAAGTATTTATAAGATTCTCTAAAACTACTTACAATGACAATTTTTTCAAGTGTTGAAATTTGTTATCAACCGTTAATATTTTGTACTCGTATGTTAAAAGTAAAATAAAAGATGATGTGACAAAATTGTTGTTGAAAAATAATAAATTTGTGGAGGAGCCTTTTTTTTTTTTACATTTGGCAAATTTTCATTGGGTAAAAGAAAAGAAGCAAGAGTTGATTTTTATTTGGAACACATGAAATGCAGTGTTGGTCGCTCAGATTTTTTTATTTTTTTTCATCTCAATTATTTAACATCAATTATTTCATAACTATTATAAATTATATATATAATTTTTCTATCAAAATTTATCATTTTTTATATTCTGTAAATAGAAATTTGTTTCATTTTTTTGGATACAGAAAAAAAACACGGTATTTTTACTACACTTTTCAATTATTTTATAAAATTATATACATCTTACGGTGTTTTAATTTTATTAAACAAAATCATTGTAGATGATAAAAATTAAGTATGTTGAAAACCGAAAAGATGATGTAGAGGGTTAAAAAAGTTTATTTTAAAGATAAAATTAAAAAAAGGTGTTGTAATATTGTAAGTTTGTAACAAATATAGATAGTCAAGAGAAATAGAAAATTATGTTAGCTTGATGATAATCGTGAGACATTAAAGTAGAAGTACAAAAACGTAAACCCAAAAACCCTAGAAGAAAAAGATGATTCATGTGTGACGTACGTGAGAAGGAACCTTAAAAACGTTTGTGATATTCACATTAAATTGGTGTTACATCCAAATCCGGTTATATAAATATAGGATTAAATTGTTGTGTGTGAATCAAAAGAGTAAAAACAGGACACATGAAATAAAGGTGAGTCTCCTAATAATCCGAACAAACCAAAAACATTAAACATATGCCTTCCTTCAGTAACTCCTCCGGCAGTCTCGCCCTGGCCGTTTCTCTTCTCTTTGCCGGCGCCTTATATATCTGTTTCTCATCACGTTCAGCTTCTGATCCTATCTCCGATCTCCTACAAAATGTCAACACTGTAAGTATTCATATAATATAGTTGGAATTCTAGAGTACATATATAGGAAGATTTGAAATATATTGAAGTGGTGACAGAGATTGATAGAGTATCCGGTGGACGAGCTAGAGGCGGTGCTGGACAGGGCAGCGATAGGTTACAACAAGACGGTGATAATAGCAATGGTGAACAAAGCTTACGTGGAGGAGGATGGAGGAGGGAGGACAATGTTGGATCTGTTTTTGGAGAGTTTTTGGGAAGGAGAGGGGACTCGGCCGCTTCTTAACCATCTGATGGTAGTGGCAGCAGATCAGACGGCCTACGATCGCTGCCTCTTCAGGAGGCTCCACTGCTACAAGTTGGATACGCAAGGGGTTGACTTGGAGGGAGAGAAAGTATACATGTCAAAAGATTTCATTGAGATGATGTGGAGGAGGACTCGCTTGCTCCTAGACGTCCTCAGCCGCGGCTACCATCTTATTTTCACGGTTAGGTCCGTCCCTCTATTTTGGAACATAACTTAATCTGTTGCTCAACAAGTATACAATGTCAGGATACGGACGTGATGTGGCTAAGGAGCCCCTTGTCCCGGCTAAACGTAAGCTTGGATATGCATATAAGCGTGGACAGAATTAACGTGAGAGGACAGTTGATCAACACGGGATTCTACCACGTCCGGTCGAACAACAAGACCATCTCCCTCTTCCAAAAATGGTACGACATGAGGCTCAACTCGACGGGGACGAAGGAACAAGACGTCCTCAAGACTCTCCTAGACTCCGGCTACTTCAACCAGCTAGGCCTTACTGTTGGCTTCCTCAGTACGACCGAGTTCAGTGGCTTCTGCCAAGACAGCCCCAACATGGGCGCTGTCACCACCGTCCACGCCAACTGTTGCCGCCACATCCCTGCTAAGATATCTGATCTCAGTCTTGTTCTTCGTGACTGGAAACGCTACAAAGCCTCCCGTGTCAACAGCAGGTGGAGCCCCCATGTTGAGTGCAGGCGTTCATGGAAGGACGCCCATTATGTCCCCAAGCTCTGACCTTCTTCGTTCATATGTGCAAATCAATGAGATTTCTACAGTATACACAACTTCATTATCATTTATTAAGTGCATATCTTCTTTAGATTAATCCTAGCTAGCGAGCTAGAGGAGCAATATAATTCTCTTTTGACAAGTAATCACAAAACATCTTATATGTGTGTGGCCTGGGCATATGGGTAACCCGTTCGGGTTCGGATAAAACCTGTTCGGGTTCGGGTTGAATGGGTAATGAATTTATGGTCCATTCGGGTATTCCTATGGTTTCGGTTCCGGTTCGGTTCGGGTATTGTCGGGTTCGGGTCGGTTTGGGTAATACCCGAAGTTTAAAATCACTTTACATACTCAAATGATCAAATAAAGAGAATAGAACATCAAACATGACATCTAAATACTAAATCCAATCCAAAATAACAAAGATGACTACTTAACTCTTTAAGGGTTAAGAGTAGATTCCAATCCAAAATCACATAAATCCGATTATTCGAAAAAGAAAAACATAGAACAAGATCCGGTGATGCATAACTGATGAGTGATGTGATTCGAGAAGCCGATTGCCGATATATGAGGGTAGGCCTGAAGGAAACTCAAACGACAAAAGTCACAAAACCTAAAACCTAGGACATACATATAAGTATATAACTATATAAGACTATATATCTAATTATCTATATACATATAAACATATGTGTATTGCTTCGGGTTTGTGGGTACCCTAAATGGGTAACGGGTAATACCCGACCCGACCCGATATCCACGGGTAATCCAATACTCTATCCAATAAACTAATTTTCTAATACCCTAACCCGCCCCAACCTGATTTTTTCGGTCCGAGTATTGGTCCGGGTATCGGTTCGGGTATCGGGTCCGGGTTTTTTGCTCAGGCCTATGTGTGTCACAACAAGATTATTTTTTGCTCTTCATGATTACAGCTACACAAATAATTGCTAATCACTCTACAACCTAGCTAGTTACTTGAAAATGAACAAGAGTTCCAAATCCAATGCTCAAGTTGGTGGATAAACCAAATGAGTGATCGCTCGAGACCTTGGGCACCCAAAGCGATACATACCATTAGACCAAATGTGATTTCAAGCCAGATGAGTTTGATAATTTAATTTATTTTTGGTTTTTTCTCAAGCTTATTTTCACTTATTGTAAATAAAACTCGCCTTTTTGGTAATTAATTAATTAAAGTTGTCAAAAGAAAAATATTATAAATGACTCATAACAAATTAAAAAGCCACATACCAAAATGAGAATAATTTGTCCATTGCCAACACAATTGATGATATGATGTTGAAAGTCAAAAAGATAAGAAGAAAGAAACAACGAGCAAAGACTATTGTGGTTTGAGTCATTGCGTCGTTCTCCACGAACTTTGATTCTTTTACAAGACAACAACCATCAACGTCTATACACCAGACAACTAGTCCTCCTTTCGTTTTTATTATATGATCCAATGCACAAGTTGGTGGATAAACCAAATGAGTGAGCTCGACACCTTGGGATTGTTGGGCTCGGGTTTCACCCAGCCTTTGAGCCCGAGCCAAACATCACACCTCGGGTCATCTTCCTATTCAGTTCGGGGTATCTTACCAAATCTGTTCGGTATACCCTGTTCAACGGCTCGGTATCCTGTCCGACAGCTCGGGTATCCCGTCAGTCGGTTCGGGTGCCCTACCCGTCGGTTCGGGATACACTCCCCTGCCAATCGGTTCGGGGTGCCCTATTTTGCACCTCGGCTCGGATCGAAGGTCGCACATCCAACTTACCCCGAGCCGGATGCACCAAGCCATCCCGAGCCAGGTCTCCAAATCATCCCCGAGCTAATCCTCCAAGACATCCCGAGCAATCCACGAAATTACCCGAGACGAAAGGCCTCGGGTCCACTCAAGACGAATACACCATGTTACCCGAGGCGTAATCTCAAAGGTACCCGAGGAGGAGTGTTCCCGAACAAAGACTTAGTGAATAAATCACTTAAAGGATCATAACAGCATTTCCGAGAAAGAAGGATCATTTCCGAAATGCTCGGAAATGATAAGAGAGAATCTCAAAGGATCGGCTCAAATCGGGAAACCTTCCAGAAAACTCCAAAGAATAAAGAAAGTATCATAATCCGCGATATTCTAAGCCGACTTCAAGATAAATGGAAATCTTCCGAGAATATCGCTGGAGAGGCGGTTTACCATCCCTATATAAGAAGACTCAAGGCTCTCACAGAAGGGACAAGCAATAGCTCTCTAAACTTTAGACTACACAAAGCTCTAAAGCAAAAACACTTTTCTTTCTTACGATCAAAGTTACTCTTTTATCAATAATATCAAGAATACCATCATTGGTTACTACTTGTTCTGTTGTTCTTTGAGAATTCTTACATTTCGTATCTTTAAAATAAAACCCTAGACAAATCTCGATTGTGTTAAGTTTCGACTTCCACAGGGATCAACAACGAGAGCTTGGATATATATGCAAATAAGCGTGGACAGAATTAACATGGGAGGACAATTGATCAACACGGGATTCTACCACGTCCGGTCCAACAACAAGATCATATCCTTCTTCCAAAAATGGTATGACATGAGGCTCAACTCGACGGACGGGGATGAAGGAACAAGACGTCCTCAAGAATCCAGCTACTTCAACCAGCTAGGCCTTACTGTTGGCTTCCTCAGTACCACCGAGTTCAGCGGTTTCTGCCAAGACAGTCCTGACATGGGCGCTGTCACCGTTCATGCCAACTGCTGCCTCCACATCCCTGCCAAGGTTTTTGATCTCACTCGAGTTCTTCGTGACTGGAAACGTTACAATTACTTACAAAGCCTCACATGTTAACAGCAAATGGAGCCCTCATGTTAAGTGCTGGCGTTCATGGAATGACACCCACTATATCCCTAGGCTCTGATCCTCTTCCTTTACAATACGCAAAATCAATGTGATTGCTATATTAAACTAACTTTTATGTGTAACACATTACATAAAAAAAAAAAAAAAAACATTACATATATGCTTCAACATTCAGACAAGACATGTCAATTAGGTCCAAAGCCTGCGGGCTAGCCCGGCCCAGCCCTGAAAAACAGCGGACTCAGGCTTCAAAATATATGTCCAGAAAAAACCGGGCCTTTCGGGTTAAAAGTTTTTTTTGGGCTTAGCCCGGCCGGGCTCGGACTAGCCTGAAAAGCCCTTTAAAAAATATTTTGACCTTTTTTGTTAATATTTTCGTTTAATTTTAAGATTTGTTATAAAAAAAATTTTAATAGAGTTGAAAACCCTAAACTTAGTTTTTTTTTTGTGTATTACTATAAATCGAAAAAGCAAATATTAGCTCTATTACCTAATTTAAATTATTTTGATTTTATATTTTATCTAGTATAAGTTTAAACAATTTATTTGAATTATTTATTTGATTTTAACTCTATTTTTAAAAAACTAAATTAGCGTTAGTTATTTAAGTTTTGATTGACTCGTTTCATATATAGATTTTTTTTTAAGAGATATTAAAAATTATAAGTTTATTGGAAAAAAAGCCCAGAAAAGCCCGGTAGCCCTGTTAGGGCCGGGCTTGGCTTTAAAATATAAGCTCGGAATTTTTACGGGCCAGGCCGAGCCAGACTTAAATATGTACGGATTTTGCGGGGTTCGGGCCGGGCTGGGCCGGGCTAGCCCGATTGACATGCCTACTTCAGACATCACTATATCAAATGTCTTAAACGCTCTCTCTCTATATATATATCTTCTGTCATTATGTAAAAGCTTAAAACAGAGCCATTGTGATTACTCGTAAAGTTTCAATCTTTATCACACAATTCAGTGATTCACACAGTAGCATGAAAATCTTCAGATTCACGTCAATCTCACCGCGGATTTTCCCGTTGAATCACTACTCAACATTCCCGTTGAAACAAAATGTTTCTTCTCTCTCACCGGCAAAATACATTGCGGGAGCTTTACAAGAACACATCAATTCTTCGGCTCCAAAAGCTGGGCAGAAGATACACGCCGATATCATCAAAACTGGGTTTATACCAGATTTGAACATATCCATCAAACTACTCATTCTACATTTAAAATGCGGCTGCTTGAGTTATGCACGCCAAGTGTTCGACGAATTACCCAAGCCAACATTATCGGCTTACAACTACATGATTAGTGGCTACTTAAAGCATGGATTTTTAAAGGAATTACTTCTCCTAGTTCAATGGATATCTTACTCTGGGGAAAAGGCAGATGGGTACACGCTTTCAATGGTTCTAAAGGCTTCTAATAGTCTTGGTTCGAATATGTTAATGCCGCGTAGCTTATGCAGGTTGGTCCATGCTCGGATTATAAAATGTGACGTTGAACTCGATGATGTGTTAATTACGGCACTTGTGGATGCTTATGTGAAGAGTGGGAAGCTGGAGTCTGCAAGGACTGTGTTTGAAACAATGAAAGACGAGAACGTTGTGTGTTGTACATCAATGATTTCAGGTTACATGAATCAAGGTTTTGTAGAGGATGCGGAAGAGATTTTCAATACAACCAAAGTGAAGGATATTGTTGTTTACAATGCTATGGTGGAAGGTTTCAGCAGATCAGCTGAAACTGCTAAGAGATCAGTTGACATGTATATTTCGATGCAACGAGCCAGTTTCCATCCGAATATTTCAACTTTTGCTAGCGTGATTGGAGCGTGTTCGGTTTTGACATGCCATGAAGTTGGTCAGCAAGTGCACGCTCAGATTATGAAGAGTGGAGTTTACACACATATCAAAATGGGGAGCTCTTTGTTAGACATGTATGCCAAATGCGGAGGGATCGATGATGCAAGAAGAGTCTTTGACCAAATGCAAGAGAAAAACGTGTTTTCTTGGACTTCGATGATAGATGGATATGGAAAGAATGGAAACCCTGAGGAAGCACTCGAACTCTTCACTAGGATGAAGGAATTCCATATAGAACCCAATTATGTAACCTTTCTTGGAGTTCTCTCTGCTTGTTCACATTCTGGTTTAGTCGATAAAGGTTATGAGATCTTTGAGAGCATGCAGAGAGATTATTCCATGAAACCAAAGATGGAACACTATGCTTGCATGGTTGATCTCATGGGACGGGCTGGAGAACTGAATAAAGCTTTCGAATTTGTTAGGGCGATGCCGGAAAGGCATAACTCAGATGTTTGGGCAGCTCTTCTCAGTTCTTGTAATCTGCATGGTAATGTTGACCTCGCAAGCATAGCTGCGAGTGAGCTTTTCAAACTGAATGCTGACAAAAGACCTGGAGCTTATTTAGCATTATCGAATGTCTATGCTTCTAATGATAAGTGGGACAATGTGAGCAAGATCCGAGAGGTGATGAAAGTAAGAAGGATATCTAAAAATATCGGTCGTAGTTGGACCAGCGAAGATTGATTGGAGTACTTCAATAAGAGTCTCACACTTGTAAGGCTTTTTGAGTTTGGTCTACTCAGAGAAGAAGATGATACTTTTTTGCCTCAAGAGTGTTTTTACAGAAGTGATAATTGTGAAAACATACAGTAAGGCGTCTCTTATTCACGCTCTTCAAATCAAATACACTGAGCTCAAAAACATTTGTTCAGTAATGAAAACGAAGGTTATACAAATGGTTGATGATTTTTTGTTTTGTTTCATTGTGCGTATATAGAGGCCATCTTGCGGTGATCAAGACCGAGAAAATTCACCTTTGTGGAACTTTTCCATGGCCTCCTTAAACTCAGGCATTGCAGATTCGCGCAGATTCACCAAAACCTTAAACCCACTGTCCTTCTTGCTTCCAGCTGCAGCATCAGTAGAATATGGCAAGAAAAAACATGGTTCCATGCTTCCAAGCAACTTGTTTGATAGTGGCAAAACCGTCACAGGTCCTCCCCATCCGAAATCAATCGTGGAATGCCCCAAGTATCGCCAGTCCGTGAATCCGGTCACTCCTGTTTTACACAATCCCAACAAGAAAACCAAAAAAGCATGAAACTTTGACTTTGGTACTCCCTCAGTTTCCAACACAAATCGTTATATATATAGTTTACCTGTACCGGCATTGATTCCATCTTTGTAATGCAGCTCTTGGAAGTCGATAAAGGAGCGTACATATTCATCACTCGTATTGGATTTGCTCTGTTTTATGAGCTCTGCAGTTTTCCAGATTGGTTGCTCAATGAGTTCTCCAGCTTTGATCTGAGCATACATTGGCACACATCCGTTTCCCCAGTAGCCTTTAGGCAAAGGTGGATTCATCAATCTCCTTATATTTATCGAATACACAAATTTCACATTCTCCTTTTCTTCAATCTTTGCAGCTCTTACCCTGAATTTCGATATTTTTCTGGTTTCAGATCAAACATTTCAAGAAATTTGATGAATTAAACATCGCGAAGAAGGGGTTTACTTACTTCGCACGCCAAATGTAAGCACCTAGAGCTTCGAATGTGGTGAAATTCACACCCGATTTCTCGAGTAATTGAGCCTTCAATTGGTCCAAAGACTCGTCGGTCACGAAGAAGCACTCTCTCTTGACGTCTCCAATGGCTTGTCCATATGGATCAAAGTCCTTATCCAGGCTCAAGAAGTCACGAACTGGAGCTCCAACCCAAGGCTTCTCCCTTGGACCAAGTAATCGTTCTCTGTCCCAAGCTGGTTCAATCGAGATCTTAGTCGCTCCACGAGCTAATTCCGCCATAGCGTTGAAGAAAAGACTCGCACCTAACCCATCACAGATCGCGTGGTGAATCGCTGCTCCTAAAACCCAACCACCACACTGAAACATCGTGACTTGGAGTATACACGGATTAACCATTCCTTCCTCCCGGGTCGGATCCGGTACCAATCTTTCGACAAAACCTGGATCGGGTCCATCCAAATACCCGACGGACTCAAGCGTACAGTTAACAGAAGCGTTGACTAAAGGCACGCTTTGACCAGCAGCACAGTATAGTTCAAAACGGTTATCGGTGGCAGAGCGACGGAGAGAGCCAGCGAGAGGGTAATAATGGACAAGAGCAGTGGCGAGAGAAGCGGAGACGACTTCAGAGGGGCTTTTCCCGGCGACGGTGGAAGAGGAGGAGTAGACGCGGAGGTAACGGAAGCTGACGTGGAGGTTGTTATCGTTATCAAGATGAGAGAGAGAGAGTGTCTGGTCGTTGGAGAGTGGTTGGTGAGAAGGTTGAACCAGGGCTATTTCGGTAATTTCAAGTGTCGCCATACCTTAATATTAAGATTGGGGTATGGGGTCTTTGTTGCTTCCAAAATAAGTTTTGGGGTCCAAATATATAATATCGATCAGAGAAGCAAAATCAATGCCTTGAGGACAGCTCACGAGAGTAGGGGCTTCACCAACTACCAAACAGTCAAGTCCCATGTCCAAATTTCTTACCTACAACACTTTCAAACAAACCATTTTAGTCTTTTTCTTATTCATACTTGTCTTCACTGTTTTTATGATCGTGTTTGTATGAATCTTTTCAATCATGCTTGTTGTCTTCACTGTTTTTCTCCTCCACAAGATTAGTATTTTTCTTTTCTTTTTGTTTTCGTAAGATAAAGTTGTGGTCGAAATTTTTGTACCAAAATAGAATCTAGCGTCAATAACAATTGCTGGAAAAACAAAATTTTAACATGTTTAGATCTCCGATTTGGGAAAATTATGGCTAGGGAACAAAAATTTATTGGTAAGATACAGTAATAGTATAAATTAGAAGTCGAGGACTATATGAAGTTGGTGGAACTAAATGGTTGTGGTTCATTAGTAAAAAAAAAAACACAAGTGGTACTACTAAACTTTTTTAATAGTCACTTGACCGGTGCTGCTTATGATTGATGATTGTTTTTGAAAGCAAATTGGAATATAGATTCGGTTAGGTCAGTATTGTCATGTACTCCTATATTATTTGTTAAACTACCGTATTTGTTAAACTACCGTATGTTATACTCCTATATTAGTTTAATTTACGAGATTTAAGTGGAATCATATCAAATGTGAAATTTCTTGAAAATTGTAGAGGATTTTCTTCAAAGTCGAATATGGATTATAAAACATTCATATGAGAGGTTGGAATGGTCAGCCGGAATTATAAAATTGCGAAATAAAGTGACACCAAAAAAGTGATGACTTTGACACACAAACCAAAAGCCTAAAAGTGGAACATGTAGGTATTCAAGGCACCGCAGAAAATATATTGTTAATCGCAATGCCATTATTATTGATTTCGATTCGTCGATCTATATTATTTATACTTTTTTGATAAAACAAAAAAGTCCAGGAAATTATCCCAACTCATAATTACATTTTCCTGGAAAAAAAGCACACACAAAGTCTTTGAAACAAACATTGTTGTAGCAACGTGCTTGAGTTCCAACAAGCAACTTGATTTGTCCAAATCCGGCGAAACAAAACAGAAGCAAAAGTTTTTGATACATTTGGCTTACGGCTTACCCTATTCGGCTATTCCCTAGTAGCACACGATTTATTTTTAATTCACAGTGTTATGTTTTTTATTACTAATATATAATAACGACCAATAAAAAATTATGTAGACAGTAACGAATTAAATTTTTATTGTTTCTTCCAAATAGGTAAATACTCTAATAAAGATATTCATTTTTTTTTTGTAGGAATAAAGATATTCATATTATTCCAAAATGAATGATATTTATATTTAGTCCACATAAAAACTGACTCCATTAAAAGTAGTGCGTAAATCGGGCCACTTGAGGGATCACGGAGACTATCTCGTGCGTCACACATCTCCATAATCATTTCTTTCTTTTTCACTCGTTTTATAATACTAGACTAGATTTTAACCCGCGGTACACCGCGGGGCTATATTTTCTTAAAAAAATCAAAATGTAATTTGTTTGATAGATTATTTTGATTGTTAATTTTAGGATTTCACCTGTGGTATACGATCTTTTATAAATATCAACCCAATCTCGTCCCATCATATTACCCGTCCCGTGAAATTAAACATTATTTAGTTATTTTTCTTTTTAATAATACTTTTATTTAAAAGCTATATAATTCAAGTCAATTTAAAAATTTCTTTTAAATGGTTCCCATAAGATATATATACATATATATTAAATTTGTATAGAGTTGAAATAATATTAATATTACAAATTTTTTATATAATTTAAATATTATAAATATTTTTAAAAATATGTAATATATATTTTTTGTTATTGAATAAGAGGATATTATGTGTAAGAAATGTAGAAAATAAGAGTTTAATATTTTTATTATGGAGTCGCAAAAAAAATCTTTTATTTCTATACATGTTATTCATTTATTAATAATAAAAGAAAACAAATCCTTTAAATTAGATATTAACTAAAATAAACGCACCATAATTACTTATTAAGTAACAACCAATAAATTTCACCAAAAAATAGGTAACAACCAATAAATTCTAAACGCAGTAATTAAAGAATGAGATATTAAAAAAAATATATCAAATAAGATATAAGAATCTTAAAATAATTGAACATCTAAATAATTTAATTGTTAGTGTCGATTTTAATACCTTCATTAGTGTGGATTTTTTTTTTTTACAGAGAAATATTTCCTAAAGATTATCACATTAATGACTCAGAAAATTAAGGAAGATATGAATTTATGATTCTCGAAATCGTATTGGTAATATCTTTAAGTAATATTTTTCAAATTTAAATAATTAATGCCAATGGCATTCATCCGTAAATAAGGTCCAACTCCAGGATTTATTTGCTAAAAGTCATTCAAAAATGTATATATAGATTGGGAATGTAAGTAATCCTTTTATACGATTATAAAAAATAAAAAATAAAAAAAAAGAGAGTAAGGAAGGCGAAAACCAAAAAGAAAAAGAAATAGCTATGAAAGAATGTTTCGTTAATATTATTTTCACGATTTCTATATCGAAGAATCCAATTTTGTGATGGAGCCTCCAACTTGTCTGACGTTTCTGAATTTACTTCGTTTTCAACCAATAACCAAAATTTCTTTTGGTAAAATAACCAATAACCAAATTTTCCCATTTCTCTCTTTCTTACTGGCATAATAAATGAAATCCAATAATGGCCTCATATCTTGCGTTATTCAATGATCCAAAAAGACTATAAAAATTTGAGTGACAAATGATGACCAAGATCCCACGACTCTTCCCATGGCTTCTTCACTGAAGAAGCTTATCTCAAGCTTTCTACTTGTCTTGTACTACACCACCATCATTGTTGCTTCATCAGAATCTCGATGTCGGCGTTTTAAATCGATCATCAGCTTTGGTGATTCCATCGCCGACACCGGAAATTATCTCCATCTCTCCGATGTCAATCATCTTCCTCAAACCGCCTTTCTTCCTTATGGCGAAAGCTTCTTCCATCTTCCCTCCGGTCGTGCCTCTGATGGCCGTCTCATCATTGACTTCATTGGTACCTATTATTTCCTCTCTTTAGACAAAAACACTTGTTCTCATTTGCTCTAGGTCTTTCTTACGTTATACTTCTTCCTGATTTTTTTTTAATGTTGTCTTACTATTTGAACAGCCGAATTCTTGGGACTACCATACGTAATGCCTTACTTTGGATCCCAAAACGTTAGCTTCGAACAAGGGATCAATTTCGCGGTGTATGGAGCAACCGCATTGGACCGAGCGTTTCTTGTGGGAAAAGGAATTGAATCTGATTTCACCAATGTTAGTTTAAGTGTTCAGCTTGACATCTTCAAGCAGATTTTGCCTAACTTATGCGCCTCATCTACTCGTGGTTAGAAAACTTAGCCTTGTTTTTTTTGTTTTTAACAGAAACTTAGCCTTGTTTTTTTTTTTTTTTTAACAGAAACTTAGCCTTGTTCTTTTCTATATCTATGATGATGAGTGTCGGAAAAAAATATATATATCTATGATGATGAGTCTAGCTTGCTTCTAAGTTCTAACAGGGTTTATTTCGTTTCTTTTCTAGATTGCAAAGAGATTCTTGGAGACTCGCTGATACTCATGGGAGAGATTGGAGGAAACGACTATAATTACCCATTTTTCGAAGGAAAAAGTATCAATGAAATCAAAGAGCTTGTTCCTCTAATCATCAAAGCTATTTCTTCCGCAATTGTGGTAACAAATCTTTACATTTCCCTCCCTCCAATCACAAAAATAATCACATTATATTTGTGTTTATGTTTTAACAAATTAAGCACAAATCTACAGGATTTGATCGCTTTAGGGGGAAAAACATTTTTGGTACCCGGAGGCTTCCCAGCAGGATGTTCTGCGGCGTATCTTACTCTATTTCAGACCGTGGCAGAAAAAGACCACGACCCTTTCACAGGTTGTATCCCATGGCTCAACGAATTTGGCGAGCACCACAACAAACAGCTAAAGACAGAACTCGAACGACTCCAAAAACTCTATCCTCATGTCAACATCATTTACGCTGACTACCACAACACCTTATACAGGTTTTATCAAGAACCAGCTAAATACGGTCCGTGCCCCTTAAAAACTCTGTCACTCTGTCGTTGACCGTCACGATGGAACTCATTAATAGATAATTTGTTTGTCTTTTTCATTAGGGTTTAAGAAAAGACCTTTGGCTGCTTGCTGTGGAGTCGGAGGTCAATACAATTTCACTATTGGTAAAGAGTGTGGATATGAAGGAGTTAGCTATTGTCAAAATCCTTCTGAGTATGTGAATTGGGATGGTTATCATTTAACCGAAGCCGCGTACAAGAAGATGGCTGAGGGTATACTCAACGGTCCCTATGCCATTCCTTCTTTCGATTGGTCCTGCCTTGGCTCTGGTTCAGTGGATAAAGAGTATTCTTTCAGCAGTTAGAATTCATTTGTTGTGAAAAAAAAAGGAGGAAGAAACAGATTGCTTGTACAGCAAGATTTGACTAATGACAAAAATTTCGTTGATATATGGCTATATGCATATATCTTATCACTGAAAAATACCACACGCACTAAAAAAAAAGTGATTAAGACGAGAGAATAGCCCATTTTTGTATCCATGCATAACTTAGGTGGAAATCATCGCCAACACCTTCGATTTCTAGTCATTAATAAACCTGACCATTTTCAAAGCTTTTCTAGGTGGAAATCATCGCCAACACCTTCGATTTCTAGTTCATAGAGTATAAGAGGATGTCTAATGCCAATGTGTAGGATTTTCAAATTTGTTTTTGAGCAGAGTCATAAATATTTGATGTTATTTTTTCCTGAATGTAATCAAACGTGTACGTATTTTCTTATCTAATCACATGACTTGCAAACATTTGTGTTTAAATCCAGATTAAAGTTATTTTCACAAGATTTGGCAACACCAAGCCTCAAACACACATTTACTAGAAATATATTAAGCGATCCTTACATAATCCACTCAATCATAATGACTCGACACCAATGTACCTCTTTAGCAAGACGCTAACAATTTTCTAGTTACTGGTAAAAACATCAGACAAAGTCTTTGAAACAAACATTGCTTGTAGCAACATACTTGTGTTCCAACAAGCAACTTGATTTGTCCAAAAACAATGAAACAAAACAGAAGCAAAAGTTTTAGGTACTACTCTAATAAAGATATTTGTATTATTCCAAAATGAATAATATTTATAATTGATTTATATTTAATTCCACATAAAAATTGACTCCATTAAAAACAGTGAGTAGATCGGCCACTTGAGCGAGAGATCACGGATACTATCACGTGCGTCACATATCTCCAATTCTCCATAATCGTTTCATAATTGTTCTCTTTCTTTTTTCACTTATTTTATAATGGATTAGTTAAAGAATCCATTTATATGATTATAAAAAGTAAGGAAGGCCAAAAAAAAAAAGAAAAAGCAATGAAGGAATATTTCGTTGTAATTATTTTCACGATTTCTGTTATCGAATAATCCAATTTTGTGATGGAGCCTCCAACTTGTCTGACGTTTCTGACGTTACTTCGTTTTCAACCCATAACCAAAATTTCTTTTGGTAAAATAACAAATAACTGTTACAGATAATTTTTTATTTTATGATAGATATAAATAATAAATCAGTAAGAAATTTTATACCCGCAAAGAATCGGAATACTGAATAATAAAGAGACGAGAAAGAAAGATTTTACTTCATTATAATTGAAGTTGTGTGAATGATGTGTATTACAATGAACGATTCATCGTTCTCTATATAGAGGTAAAACGATAAATTTACTGTGCTCGCATAGTGACGTGGACTTCACATTTACGTAACACGCATGCGTATGTATATTGTTGACGTTATTGTTTTTTTTTTAACTTTTACAACGATAACCAAATTTTCCCATTTATCTCTTTATTTCTGGCATAATAAATGAAATCCAATAATTGCCTCATCTCTTGCATTATTCATGATCCAAAAAGACTATAAAAATTGAGTGTGAAAGACGAACGAAGACCACGACTCTTCCCATGGCTTATTCACTGAAGAAGCTTATCTCAAGCTTTCTACTTGTCTTATACTCCACCATCATTGTTGCTTCATCAGAATCTCGATGTCGGCGTTTTAAATCGATCATCAGCTTTGGTGATTCCATCGCCGACACCGGAAATTATCTCCATCTCTCCGACGTCAATCATCTTCCTCAAACCGCCTTTTTTCCTTATGGTGAAAGCTTCTTCCATCCTCCCTCTGGTCGTGCCTCTGATGGCCGTCTCATCATCGACTTCATCGGTACCTAATATTTCCTCTCTTTAGGCAAAACCACTTGTTATCATCTGTTTTAGGTCTATCTTGCGTGGAAAGCAAGATAGAAACCCTACTTCTTCCTGAGTTTTTGTAATGTTGTCTTACTATTTGAACAGCTGAATTCTTGGGACTACCGTATGTTCCACCTTACTTTGGATCCCAAAACGTTAGCTTCGAACAAGGGATCAATTTCGCGGTGTATGGAGCAACCGCATTGGACCGAGCGTATTTTGTGGCTAAAGGAATCGAATGTGATTTCACCAATGTTAGTTTAAGTGTTCAGCTTGACATCTTCAAGCAGATTTTGCCTAACCTTTGTGCCTCGTCTTCTCGTGGTTAGAAACTCAGCCTTTTAATTTGATAAACAGAAACTTAGCCTTGTTCTAACAGGGTTTATTTATTTTTGTGTTTAGATTGCAGAGAGATGCTTGGAGACTCGCTGATACTCATGGGAGAGATTGGAGGAAACGACTTTTTTTACCCATCCTTCGAAGGCAAAAGTATCGATGAAACCAAACTACAGGATTTGATCATCAAAGCTATTTCTTCTGCAATTGTGGTAACAAATCTTTACATTTCCCTCCCCCACACACAAAAATAATCACATATCTGTTTTATACTTTTAACAAATTAAGCAACAAAACTACAGGATTTGATCGCTTTAGGGGGCAAAACATTTTTGGTACCCGGAGGCAGAAGAAGACTACGACCCTTTGACAGGTTGTATCCCACGGCTCAATGAATTAGGAGAGCGCGACAACGAACAACTTAAGACAGAACTCAAACGACTCCAAAAACTCTATCCTGATGTCAACATCATTTACGCTGACTACCATAACTCCTTATACCGGTTTTATCAAGAACCAGCTAAATATGGTCCGTGCCCCTTAAAAACTCTGTCGTTGACCCTCACGGTTTAATTCATTAACCGATATTTTGTTTGTCTTCTTCATTAGGGTTTAAGAACAGACCTTTGGCTGCTTGCTGTGGAGTGGGAGGTCAATACAACTTCACTATTAGTAAGGAGTGTGGATCCGAAGGAGTTAGCTATTGTCAAAATCCTTCTGAGTATGTGAATTGGGATGGTTATCATTTAACCGAAGCCGCGTACCAGAAGATGGCTGAGGGTATACTCAACGGTCCCTATGCAACTCCTGCTTTCGACTGGTCCTGCCTTGGCTCTGGTTCAGTGGATAAAGAGTATTCTTTCAGCAGTTAGAATTCATTTGTTGTGAAAAAAAGAGGAAGAAAATTATGTGATGATGATGATGATGATGATGATGATTAACAAACATATTGCTTGTACGGCAAGATTTGACTATTGACAAAAATTTCCAGGATATATGGCTATATGCATATGTCTTATTAGTTATCACTGAATAATACCACACACGCAATAGAAAATCCTATTTATGGGGTTCGTAGCACTAGTTGCACTTTAGCTACAATGTTGAGAAAATCTTTCTCCACAATCTGGAAGTGGCGTATAATTTGTAGACCATTCTAACAGTTCCATGGAAGATGTTAAGACAAGTTTTGGATGAATTGAGGGGGACAATCGCCAGCTAAGGATTTAAATAATTTCATAACATCTATTGAAATGAAAGATTGCGAACATAATGCACTATTTCGGACAACTTAATATACAATATATGGATTATAACAGATGAGAACATGTGAGGTCCATTGATCACACATTTTGGTCATTTAAATTAAGAAAAAGTTTAAAATTCTATTTAAAAAAAAAAAGAATTACTTTAAAATTTCTTATTTGGATTACCTAAAGTTCTCGACCACTATAATTAAAAGTGATTAAGACGAGAGACTAGCCCATTTGTATCCATGCATAACTTAGGTGTCATTTTATACGTGGCACTTAAGTACGACTAAGCCATCTAATCTAAACTGGACGTTTCTGAAGTAAAGTTACTTCATTGAACACTCAATAGTCATTAATAAACCTGATCACCATTTTCCTCAATTTACTCATCGGCGTTAGAATACTACAAAAAGTCCAATAACTAATGCCTCAAACTCTGCATTAGTTCATGGTCGAAAAAGATTCTAAAATTGAGTAATAGAGACGATGACGACGACTCTCCTCATGGCTTCGCTCATCGTAAGCTTTCTACTTATCTTATACTCCACCACTATCGTCGTTGCCTCATCAGAATCTCGGTGTCGGCGTTACAAATCAATCATCAGCTTCGGTGACTCCATTGCCGACACCGGAAATTATCTTCGTCTCTCCAACGTCAAAAATCTTCCTCAAGCCGCATTTCTTCCTTACGGCGAAAGCTTCTTCCATCCTCCCTCCGGCCGTTACTCGGACGGCCGTCTCGTTATAGATTTCATCGGTACCCTATTTTTCTTCTCTATTTTTAGACATTTTCGACAAAAACCACTCGATCACTCCTCTGCTTTAGGTCTCTATTGCTTGAACAGCAAGTTATAAGCCCTACATGCTTCTGTGTTTTTGTAATTTTGTCTAAGTATTTGTACAGCCGAATTCTTGGGACTACCTTACGTTCCGCCTTACTTCGGATCCCAAAACGTGAGCTTCAATCAAGGGATAAATTTGGCTGTGTATGGAGCAACCGCCTTGGATCGTGCCTTTCTTGTAAAACAAGGAATTAAATCTGACTTCACCAATATTAGTCTAAGTGTTCAGCTTAACACCTTCAAGCAGATTTTACCTAACTTATGTGCCTCGTCTACTCGTGCATGGTCACAAACTTAGCCTTGTTCTCTTCCATATCTACGATGCATTGAGCTCGCTTCTTACTTTTTTTATCTGGGGGTTTAGATTGCAGAGAGATGCTTGGAGACTCGTTGATACTCATGGGAGAGATTGGAGGTAACGACTATAACTACCCATTTTTCGAAGGCAAAAGTATCAATGAAATCAAAGAGCTTGTTCCTCTAATCATCAAAGCTATTTCTTCTGCAATTATGGTAAATAATCTTTACATTGCCCTCTACTCACAAATGTGTGCTTCAAATTTTAACAAATTAATTAAGTAATAAAACTACAGAATTTGATCGATTTAGGAGGAAAAACATTCCTGGTGCCCGGAAACTTTCCAATAGGATGTTCCGCAGCATATCTTACTCTATTTCAGACCGCGATAGTAGAACATGACCCTTTTACAGGTTGTATCCCATGGCTCAACAAATTCGGAGAGCACCATAACGAACAACTTAAGATAGAACTCAAACAACTCCAAAAACTCTACCCTCATGTAAACATCATTTACGCCGACTACTACAACTCTTTGTACCGGTTTTTCCAAGAACCAGCCAAATACGGTTTGTGCCTTCTAAAGCTTCTGTCTTTGACCCTCACGTACGGTTTTATTCGTTAACCCATGTTTTATGAATTATGGTCCCTTTTTAGGTTTTAAGAACAGACCTTTGGCTGCTTGTTGTGGAGTCGGAGGTCAATACAACTTCACCATTGGTAAAGAGTGTGGAGAAAACGGAGTTAGCTATTGTCAAAATCCTTCTGAGTATGTGAATTGGGATGGTTATCATTTAACCGAAGCCACCTACCAGAAAATGGCTCAGGATTTACTCAACGGTCCCTATACAACTCCTGCTTTCGACTGGTCCTGCCTTGGCTCTTATGATTCAGTGGATAAAGATGATAAGTTAGTAGTGGCACCGGTCTTTGCAAGAAAGAAGAAGAGAAAATATGGAAGAGTTGCAGAGAATTGGAAGGAATCTTGGATTATAAATTAATAGTTTATTAAAAGAACTTGAAGAATTAAAATAAAAATTGTATCCAAAAAAAAATTAATGGCCTGATATTCGAAAGGAATCTTGGATTATAGACGATAGATTCGCCCATGTGTATCTCATGCATAACCTTACGTGTCTTTTATACGTGGCATGAACGTTTTTGAAACTACTGCATTTTCAAACAATTATTGGACACACCAAAAAAACAAAAAACATCTTCCCCAGTTTACTAGTATATTCTTGTTGGCATAGTAAATGAAATCCACCACTGACCATATTTAGTGGTCCAAAAGGATAATAAAAATCGGGTGACAGAAACGACGAAGACGATTCTTCCCATGGCTTCACTGCTAAAGAAGCTCATCTCAAGCTTTCTACTTATCTTATACTCCACCACCATAACCGTTGCTTCATCAGAATATCGATGTCGGCAATATAAATCGATCATCAGCTTCGGTGATTCCAGCGCCGACACCGGAAACTATCTCCATCTTTCCGACGTCAATCATCTTCCTCAATCCGCATTTCTTCCTTACGGCGAAACCTTCTTCCATCCTCCCTCCGGCCGTTACTCGGATGGCCGTCTCATCATCGACTTCATTGGTACCTAATTTTCCTGTCCTCTCTTTCTAATGCTAGGCAAAAACGTTTGTTCTCCTCTGCTTTAGGTCTTTCTTGCTTGAGCAGAAAGTTAGAAACCCAATTTGCTTTCTGATTGTTACATGGACAGCTGAATTCTTGGGACTACCGTACGTACCATATTACTTCGGATCCCAAAACGTGAGCTTTGATCAAGGGATCAATTTCGCGGTGTATGGTGCAACTGCATTGGACCGAGCGTTTCTTGTGGAAAAAGGAATTGAATTTGATTTCACCAATGTTAGTTTAAGTGTTCAGATTAACAACTTCAAACAGATTTTACCTAACCTTTGCACCTCGTCTTCTCGTGGTTAGAATCATAGCCTTGTTCTCTTCCATATCTATGATGTTGGATCGAGCTCACTTCGAAGGTTCTTTTTTTCTTTTGGGGTTTAGATTGTAGAGAGATGCTTGGAGACTCGCTGATACTTATGGGAGAGATTGGAGTGAATGACTATAATTACCCGTTCTTTGAAGGCAAAAGTATCAATGAAATCAAAGAGCTTGTTCCTCTAGTCATCAAAGCTATTTCTTCTGCGATTGTGGTAACAAATCTTTACATTTCTCTCCCCTCCCCTTAAAAAAGAAGTCACATGTGTGTTTAATTTTAACTAATAAGGCAAAAAAACTACAGGATTTGATTGATTTAGGGGGCAAAACATTTCTGGTCCCCGGAAACTTCCCATTAGGATGTTATCCCGCGTATCTTACTCTATTTCAGACCACGGCAGAAGAAGACTACGACCCTTCCACAGGTTGTCTACGATGGCTCAACGAATTTGTAGAGCATCACAACGAAGAGCTCAAGACAGAACTCAAAAGACTCCAAGAACTATACGATCATGTCAACATCATTTACGCCGACTACTACAACTCTTTATTCCTGTTATACCAAGAACCAGTCAAATATGGTCCGTGGGTTTCTAAAGTTTTTGGCATTGACCATGACCGTTTGATCTCTTGACCAACGTTTTATTTATGGTCATTTTTTTTAGGGTTTAGGAACCGACCTTTGGCTGCTTGTTGTGGGATCGGAGGTCAATACAACTTCACTATTAGTGAAGAGTGTGGACACAGAGAAGTTAGCTATTGTCAAAATCCTTCTGAATATGTGAACTGGGACGGTTATCATTTAACCGAAGCCACACACCAGAAGATGGCTCAAGTTTTACTCAACGGTCCCTATGCAACACCTGCTTTCGACTGGTCCTGCTTTAGCTTTGGATCAGTGGATAAAGAGTATTCTGTCAGCAGTTAAAATTCGGTTTTCGTGAAAAAATAAGGAAGTATATATGTGGTGATGTTGAATTGGTGAAAATTAATAAGAACAGGTTCCTTATACGGCAAGGTTTTGACATAATATAATATTTGACTTATGAAGAGAACCATAAATGATTCTATCTGATGATGATAGATGCAAACAAGACATAATCTCCTTAAGGTGTGTAAAGAAGATTATAACTTTTTTAATTAGATGATTAGGTAGGAGACATGATTTCTCCTTAATTCTCCTTTCTGTTGATATAAATTTCATCTTTGTTTGCCTAATCTACGCTACCCCTAATGGTTGATCAAAACGAAGGCATTATGGAGTGTTGGAGCGAGAAGCAAAAAGTATATTTTTTGGTCAAATCAATTTTTATTTGTCGTAACAAATATATTTCTGTGCTGTCTGATATTAGAAAACCCAAAAAAATATATAATTTGATGAAGTGTAGCGACCTTTTAGAAGTTAATTATATATATAAAAAATTCTTACTATACAGTTTGGGTAATTAAGTACTTTCTCTTATAACTGACTAATTTGAGATATTCAAGTACATTTCCATTCTAATTAGCTTCAAGCTATTAAGAATTTTTATAGAATGCCTTAAACTGTATATTGTATTAATACAATTTTAACTAAATACAAATCAATACACAAAAGCTCACAAACATATATAAAAATTTGTTTACATCATATTTGATAGTTTTATTAAATAAACAGTAAGCATATTGATCCATTCCTATATCTTACTCTAGTTATTGAATTTTACATGAAATAAATATAAAAATAAGTAAAAAAAATATTTATATATGAATATGAAACTTAAGATTTGCCTTATTTTTTTAATTGTTTAAGAATTTTTAGGAGTTTCTTTTAAGAATATTTCAAGAAATTTGTAAGAATTTTAAATTTGTTTTGGTTTTTCAGAATGTTTGGGTTCTTGTTCAGTTTTACTTCGGGTTTGGTTGAATTTTATTGGGATTCGAATTCTTCTTCAAATTAAGCTAAAAGGATTTTTAAAAGGTGTACATTAAATCGTTTAGCGGGCTGTTAATGGTTTAATATAGAACCACAATGGTTACTTCATGTATTAAATGGGCTGTATAAATAGTTTATATATATTATTATGAAAGAGAAATTTTTCGTTTATAGGCTAGATTTTTTGTTTTTGTCAAGGAATCTACAAATGTAGAACTTTTTCTTTTACGACAGGTGTATCACTGAATCCAAACGAAAAAGGTAGAACACAGATTTTGTTTCAAGTACAGCCAAACAAAATTGTTTCACATAAAAAAGGGAAAATAACTTCATGAATCATGAGAAGTCAAATTATAAAAGGAAAAAAATCTGATTACCTTGTCTATTACCTAATGTTAATATTTTATAGTTAAATTACACTTTCCATGTTTGACTAAATATGGTAACATGACATAATATCTTAAAAGTGTAACGGTTGCAAAATCCTCTTTAGGACAGTTAAAATTGACAGAAGACTCTTGTCAGCTGAAGAGAAGCATCTTAAGAAATGAACGGTGATAGATTTGGGTAGAATCCAATGTAGCAGCACGTGTACCAATCATTATGTCTCTGTTCTCTTTTTCCTCATATAACTGTCCATACTTTTCTATTTTTTAATATCTTTTACTCTTTTTAAATTAAAAAATATATTACCTTAATAACATTAGTTTTTAGGCAGAACAAAACAAAACAAAGTTTTCTGTTTATGTAAAAGCCACTGATTATAGCTTAGTGTCAAATCACAGCTTTTTCCAGCTTGGGATTGTCTTTGTGTCTAAAAATGATAAATCACAATTAATTAGTAGATTTTCTTTGAAAATGCAACTAATTAGTTCGTATTTGCATAATAGTACTCAGTAATTTTTTTTTCATTTTAATATTGTAGAACATGTTGTAGAAATTTTCAATATTACAAAATTAACAAAAAATTAAGTAACTTATATAATATTTTCTGTGAATTACTTTTTATTAATTTTATAATTGACAGCATTGCTATGAAACTTCACTTAAAATTTTATAGTTAAAACTACCATATAACGACAATATGAAGAGTTAATTTATTCGATGTCGTTATTCAAAAAACAAACACTGTTCATTAATTTGATAATTGGCGGCGCCGCCATGAAAATTCACACATAATTTTAAATAAGAAATATAATGTATTTTCTTTAAGATGTTATAGTGAACTAGTTTTTTATGTTTACAATTTTGACAATTTATTACAACTAGTAGGATATATTAAACATATTACTAATATCAAGTATATTTCTAAAACTGAGGGTAAATTAGAGGAGTAGAAAACAAATATTTTGATTTATTCACCTTAAAACATTTAAAAAGAAAAGATAAAAAAGATACAAAACTTTTAAACACGTGGCGTAACAAGGATAAGGTATCGAAGACCTTCTTCATCTGACATTGGGTATATATATGCCGATATGGTAGACTTCTCAATATCTCCTTACCTCTCCCAATTTCCATATCTCTCACTTTTTTGCTCATACTCCAGTAAGTGTCTCTCCTTTCTGTTCGTTTATATTAGCTATTTGATTTTAACAATTAGATCTTTCGTTTTCTTTGCAGTTCAGCTATACTAAAATTCGATCATACATTATATATTGTATTGTAAAAAAGAGACACATATTTAGGGTCTTTCTAGATAAACAGTACCATATTGATTTTTTCATCATATAACCATTTGTTTATTTGATTTCCGTGTAATATGTATATAGTCCTGTATATTTCTTAAAGTTTTTGAATTTATTTCTTCACTGCCTTCAATTTACTCACACAAATTTTTTCTTCTTCTTCTTATTTATTTTGATTTTGATTTTGATTTTGATTTTGATTTTGATTTTGTTTTTGATTTTGATTTCGTTTCTTCTCTTTGTATAAAAATTCTTAGTTTTCATTTTCTCAATAATCTTTGTTGTATATTATTTGATTGATATTTCGTTATTCATACATCAAGGTGAAAAAATTTATCAGTATTGTAAATTTTAATGGATGCACTAAAAGTTAGAGGCTATTTTCTTGTATATTGATACTTTAGAGGCTTCAAGCACTTTTTTTTATAAATTTTTGTCCAAAAAATATTTAGTTTCAGAAATAAGAATAATTTTTATTTTTCTTAAGAACAAAGCTTTTTGAAAGGAAACAAAATGGATTTTTTCAAGGTGAAAAAAGATTTTTTCAAGGAAAAAAAAAAACTTATTAAAGAGAAAAAATGGCCTTTTCTAAGGAAAAGAAAAGTGAATTTTAACCAGCTTCATATAGAGGATGGTTCTGCTTGTTATATGTGAAATTTATTTTATATATACTTATATTAATTTTTCAGGAAACAAACAAATTATTATTATTTGTTTTTTGAACAATAATTTTTTTATATCTAATATTTTAAACCACAAAATACGAACTAGACGCCGGGGACAAGTTAATTTGTCATGATTTCATTTGAAAAGATAAGAGTTTTTTTTTTTGGTTAAATCAAAAGTATAGAGTAACTTTTAGTTTGATATATTCCCCTCAATTCATATTCCATATGAGGTTCGAAGATGTATAAGTAGCATGATGTCAGAATACAAAATATATGTGTAATTAGCTAGTTAATCAAAAGTCCGTACATGTTTGTTTATCAATTTCTGACTATCTCACATATATACGTCTCGTCGATCTTCCAGGTAAACAAGTCAATATGGATCTCGTTGATAATACGCTCGATGAACAAAGATTGCCATTTACTCCGTCGTGGTTCCCCCCATCACCAGAAGCATTTCCTTCAATAATTGTAATTCTTTTAATCATTTGTTTCTCCTTTTCATATAAAAACTTACATTGTGATATATACATATTGATGATAAAACTAAATTGTTGAACCCTAAAGGAGCTTCTACAAGACCCTATGACGGCAGAAATTGAGAACTTTGATGGAATATTCTCTACTCCTGCAATAAGCGAGGCTATTCCCTCTACGAGTACACAACCGAGTGTAGTCCCATGTCCAGAGTTATCAACAATGCCTCAAAATCCACCTGACATGGTATGTTACTTACAATTTTCATAAAACATATTTTTTTTTTACTATTGGGCATCACATATAACTTTTGTTTTCGTTTTATGTATCTAAGCAACAACAAGAACCACTGGGTGATTCACATGGACATTTACAACAATCTGATCAACAGGATTTATTAAATCCAAACATGCTGAATTCTTATCAAGAGCCAGTCGTTTCTACAACAGTAAGTTGAAGATTTCATTTTTTTATTTCGATTATCAGTTTTTTTTTTTTAACATATACATTCATGAGCCAGATAGAGTATAGTATCTACTATCACCAAACCATCAATGATAATATCTTAATAACTAGATTCATTTTATTTCACCTAAACAGCAGCAGCAGCAACAACAACCCATTTTACATGGATCATTAGAACAATCTGATCAACAAGGTTTATTAAATCCAAACATGATGTCTTCTGAGCCAGGTGTTTCTACATTGGTAAGTATAGATTTCATATTTTTTCAGTAACCAGTTATTTTTAATTAGTTCTTTTTTTGTATACTTATTCAGAGCTAGATAGAACACAATATGCTATCACTAAACCATCAATGATAATATCTTAAAATTTAAATCTGTTTTCATTTTTCTAAGCAGCAACAACAATTACTATGCAATTCAGCTGGATATTTGCAACAATCTGATCACCAAGGTTTATTAAGTCCAAACATGCTGGATTCTTTTCATGAACCTGATGTTTCTACAATGGTAAGTTAAAAATTCCATTCTTTTTTAATTTTTCTTTTTCTGTTTATTAAATGAAAATACATTAATTCATGAGCCAAATAGACTTATATGCTGTCAAACTAAACCATCAAGGATAACACACTAATAAATAAATTCGTTTTCATTTTGTCCAAGCAGCAGCAACAAGCACCACCATTATACAATTCACATGGATATTTACAACAATCAGATCAACAATATTTAATGAATCAAAACATGATGAATTCTTTTCAAGGGCCAGATGTTTCTACAACGGTAAGTTAGATTTCAATTTTAATCAGTCACTTTTATTTAGTGTTTGATACTTAGACAGTCATAACTCATAAGCCATATGAAAATCGTTTTCGTTCTTTTGTTTTTCTAAGCAGCAACAACAACAATTGCTGTGCAACTCACATAGGTATGTACAAGGAAACTTATCAAACATACAATCAGATCAGCAATACTTATCGAATCAAAACGCGACAAATTTATTTCAAGAACCAAATAATTCTACAATGGTAATTATATTTTTTATTTTAATTTTCTTGATCAACGATTATTTTCAATTAAGTTTTGATAACTATATTTGCATGAACCAGATCGATATTGGTCAACAAATCGAAGAAGGAAACAATGGATATGCACATCAACCATTGATTGATCATTTTGAGTTACCAAATCATCATCAGGAGCAGTCTCTATCAGTACCAATGTATGTGACAAAATCAAATACAAATACAAAACTTTAGTACACACATGTACCATTGATCTATAATTTATAATCTTTCTATTATTTTTATGAAATTCAGATCACAAAATTACCTGTCATATCCGGCATACGAACATGGTCCAATTGGTTCACATTTTAACATGTACGGCCAGCAACCACCTCCGAGAGTTTCAACTCACAGAGAAGAAGGACATCCCCCCCAATGGATAGTTACAGACTTGGCCAGGTAAGATCATCTATTTTCCATAAATCCTAGATGAAACATAGAAAATTTTCTAATGAAAATATGGAAAAGAGTCAATAATCAAGTGCACTCCGCTTACAAAAAAAAATTAAGAATTGGTCCGTTGCTTTTATACTTAATTTTATGTTCTTTCTCTCTTATATATTATCATAAGTCTTATTCCTCTTCCTGTGTGGAATTCTTTTAAATATTTGCTTCACTGAAATTATATAAAAACATAATTATATATTCACTTGTTAAATTATTTGGGTTAACGCAGAAATTATCCTATACAAAATCAAAATCCTACGACCATTTCCCGACCTCAAATGCCGTCAAGGTCTACCAGGTTTATATTATTTCTTTTATATTATTTAATACTATCTCTCTTCAAATGTGGAATTCTCTTATATATTTGTTTCACTAAATAGTTACAATTATACAAAAAAATTATATATATATATATATATATATATATATATATATTTCTTTGTTAAACTATTTGGGTTAACGCAGTACTTATCCTCTCCAAAATCAAATTTCTATGATTCCTCCACAATCTCAAATGACATCGAGTTCCACTAGGTATATATTATCTTTAATATATTATTCTAATTCAATCTATTTTGTATATATTATTTTAAATTCATTCTCTCTTTTGATATGAAATTTTTATATATATTTGTTAACCAAATAGTTACAATTACATAAAAGCATATTATGGATTTCTTTGCTAAATTATTCGGATAAACGCAGGATTTATCCTCTTGAAAATCAAATTTCTATGTTTCCTCCACAAACTCAAATGGCATCGAGCTCCACTAGGTATATATTACTCTAATTTAATCTCTTTTATAAATATTATTTTAAATTCATTTTGTCTTTTGATATGAAAATTTCTTATATATTTGTTCACCAAATAGTTACAATTACATAAAAACTTATTATTTATTTCTTTGTTAAATCATTTGAATAAACGCAGGATTTATCCTCTTGAAAATCAAATTTCTATGTTTCCTCCACAATCTCAAATGACATCGAGCTCCACTAGGTATATCTTATTCTAATTCAATCTCTTTGATATATATATTATTTTAAATTCATTTTGTCTTTTGATATAAAAATTTCTTATATATTTGTTCACCAAATAGTTACAATTACATAAAAACATATTATTTATTTCTTTGCTAAATTATTCGGATAAACACAGAATTTATCCTCTTAAAAATCAAATTTCTCTGTTTTCTCCACAATCTCAAATGACATCGAGCTCCACTAGGTATATATTATCTTTAATATATCATTCTAATTCAATCTCTTTTATATATATTATTTTAAATTCATTCTCTCTTTTGATATAAAATTTTCTTATATATTTGTTCACCAAATAGTTACAATTACATAAAAACATATTATGGATTTCTTTGCTAAATTATTCGGATGAACGCAGGATTGATCCTCTTGAAAATCAAATTTCTATGTTTCCTCCACAATCTCAAATGACGTCGAGCTCCACTAGGTATATATTACTCTAATTTAATCTCTTTTATATATATTATTTAAATTCATTTTATCTTTTGATATGAAAATTTCTTATATATTTGTTCACCAAATAGTTACGATTACATAAAAACATATTATGTATTTCTTTGCTAAATTATTCGGATAAGTGCAGGATTTATCCTCTTAAAAATCAAATTTCTATGTTTCCTCCACAATCTCAAATGACATCGAGCTCCACTAGGTATATATTACTCTAATTTAATCTCTTTTATAAATATTATTTTAAATTCATTTTGTCTTTTGATATGAAAATTTCTTATATATTTGTTCACCAAATAGTTACAATTACATAAAAACATATTATGTATTTCTTTGCTAAATTACTCGGATAAACGCAGGATTTATCCTCTTGAAAATCAAATTTCTATGTTTTCTCCTCAATCTCAAATACCATCGAGCACTACTAGGTATTATATTATTTTTGATATTTTTTTTTTTATTTTTTTTATTTTTTTTATTTTTTTTATTTTTTTTATTTTTTGATATATTATTTTTGATATATTATTCTAAGTTTGGTCCCTTAGTATACAAATTTTAAAACCATATTACTTTTTTGGTGGAATTCTCTTACATAATTATTCAATAAATAGTTGAAATTACATAATTACATAATTATAAATTAATTAGTTAAATTATTTGTGTTAACACAGAACTTATCCTTTAGATACTCAAATTTCTGTGATCCCTCCTCAACCTCAAATGCGGTCGAGGTCCACCAGGTATATATTATTCTTTAGCTAAAAATATTCTAAATTCAGTCTTCTTTAATTCATGTCTTTCTTCAATTACGATATAGAATTGCCTTACATACTTTTTTTTTTTTCTTTTTGATGGAGCAAATTTCAGAAGAAGGACTTATCTTCGACAAAATCGAACTTCTATGACCTCTTCTCAACTTCAAATGCCATCGAGCTCTACCAGGTATCAAGTCCAAACATATATACTCGATCACGTAATCTAGTACAAGGGATATATATTACGTTTTTGTTCACTTCATATTTTTTCAGTTTTGAGAATTTAATATTTAGACTCATTTACTTTTCTCATTTTTATAGGCATCATCATGGCAACGTGCAAGATTTGGTAAGTCAGTCTCTGTCGAACTTTAGGTGCCCTCAAGTAGGCACTTCTAGCCAAATACGTCCATGCACAAACTCATTCACTACTCCCATACAGGTACCATATATATTCTTCATTCCATGAATGAAACTAGTTATATACACAAATGTTTATCTATATGTATGATTTTAATTTTTATCAAAAAAAATTGAAGTAGTATATATGTGCTAAAAAGTGTTATTGATAACATTTGGATATTACAGAGCAGTAGTGTTCTGGGGCGTCGACAAAGAAGTTATCAAAATCACTTTGAGAATGGAGAATCATCATCGGCTGCTCAACTAATGGTAATATTTCTTTATATATTCCAAAATAGACAGAATTGGTGAGAAAATTAAAATTAATTCAATTTAGTTAAATAATGCAGAGGATAGTCTCGGCAGAAAGAAATGTTGATTCAAATGCAGCCAATCCTGCTGAACCAAGGTTTATACTTTCCCATCTTTTTCATTATCGTTACACATTTTCTATCTATTTTTCACAATCTATTCCATACGTTTATATTTTCGTAAGGCTCTCTATCTAAATTATCTACTCATCAGTCATCACTCATTAATTATCAATGGAAATATAATTCTCTTGAACAGAATCATTAAGTATTTATTTGTTTCTTGGCCAAAAAAAAAACATTTGACCCAGACCACCAAACTACAACAATCTCAGTTAGTTACATGATTATTACTTACAATATTTTGATATATAACCTTTACATATATATATATTGGATATTTTTATATAAGGTAATTTTTTTTTTGTTGATAAAGAGTATAATTTCTACTTTTATATTGGTATCACACTATATTTCATCATTCACTATTAAGTAACATACTTAATAAATACGTTTTTTGTTTTTTTTTTTTCAGGATACAAAATGGATTATATAATCCAAGATATGAAAGCCTCGGTTTAGCTATCGATCCCTTCTTGAGAAAATTCCATTTTCAACGTTAACAAATTCTTAAATTTAGCTTTTTATTTTATTCATCATTATATTACAACTTTTTTGTGGTTTAATCTTGATGTATTTTTTAATTCTATCAATAAATAAGAAAATTGGATACTATTTCAAGCTTATTATAATCATTCATCCTTCATATTTATTTATTTTTCCTTAATCTTTACTCTAGTGATTTAGAAGAGAACAGATGGTTTCATTGTAAAATTCATAAATTTGAGATTCATCGTACCAATCCTCCTTAAACAATAAAACTCATTGCCCCTAGACTCTAAACCTTAACTGATCACGAGTGTGGCCATGATTTGCATGATCTAGACAAGAGTGAGTATAAATGCTTAGTGCGGACGTTTATTTTCGTCCAAATGCAACACAAAGCGATGAAGGATTTCTTATATGTTTTTTTTTGGTTAAAATATACAATTTATTGCTCAACAAAACGAATCGTTCTCACCTTGCGCCGCCTGGTCTTCAACGTTGGTGTAGGGTCAAGCGGCGAAGCGGGAGCGGACTGTCTTCCTTCTCCGGCTGAGGTGAGGTGTGGTAGATCTGTTTCTCGGTGCGAAGCGGTGGCGAATTTCTCGGCGGTTTTTGAGTGTTTCTCCGATGGGTTTGCTTCTGGTTTGAGGACGCCGGAGGAGCCATGGAGAAGCCTCTACCGGCTTGACCGTTTGTGTTTGCAGCTGTGCTTCGTGGCGGAAGCTGAGAAGAAGATCGGTGGGTCCTCGGCTTGTTAGGTGGTTTACGGCAGATCCGTTTCTGGATCTGTGATGGCTTGTCTCGGAGGTCGGCGGTTGAAGGTTTTGTTTGAGCCAACTTCTTTCTCCGCTGCCGAGAGAGGTGTCCACCTGACCGGTTTGAAGGTTGGTGTCGTCTGTTGGGATTTGCTTGTTGTCGGAGCTGGAGGATTAGGGTTAGCTTTGTGTTCTCTCTTTTTGCTTGGTAGGGGATTAGAGAGTCTAGGTATCGGTTGTCTGTGGGTTGATTTACTCCGGGAGGTTTGCTCCGGGTCTGGCTTGTCGGCGAAATCGGCTTGCGGTCGGATTCGTTTACTCCGGCTAAAAGTCTCGGTTTCGTCGGCGTAGCTGCAAAGGAGTCAGCCTTGTAAACGCCGGGAATGGTAAATGGGATCCACTGTTTCCGTTAAACCGTCCAAGGCAGATCTGAGATTCCGGTGATGTCGCCGGCTAATTTTGACGTTTTGTAATCGTGGTTTTCGTTTTGGCCCAAAGCCAAAAAAAAGCCCATTTGGGATGAAATAAAAATTAAATATTAAAAAAAAAAAAAAAAACGAATGTTTATGCACAAATAAAACTGAATCAAAGAAAAAAAATGTTTGAGAATTGAACGTGTAAAAGAATTTAGGCTGATTTTCACAAGGGATAAATATCATGCTAGTCATATCAATCAATTAACTATAACAGCCTAGACTATACATGCATATTCCTACGAAGAGGCACGATTCATTAGTAGCATGTAATCGCCCAATCGGTTAATATTATTAATTCACATAACCTTAAATTACTATATTTCTTTGTAGCCTAAAGCATATATTTACTTCATATGCTTTATGAACGGGCCGGCATGGCGGCATGCCATCCAATGTCGTCTCAAAGTTTCATTTTTTGAAGCTCACAAGTTTTCTGATCACTATAGCCACCGGAGTCTTAGGCTCAGGATCATTTCAACGTTATGAATCGATCATCAGCTTTGGCAATTCAATCTCCGACACTGGAAACTTTCTTCATCCCTCCGACCCAAATCATCTTCCTCGAACCGCATTCTTGCCTTATGGAGAGACGACCTTCTTCCACCGTTACTCCGATGGCCGCCTCATCATCGACTTCATTGGTGTGCATTTCTCTGTACACCTTCCTAAATTTTCTTATTGATTTTCTCTATAAGAAATGTAAATTCCTAACAAACTGATATATTAATAGCCTCTACTAGATTATGATTTGAATTGGAACTCAAGCAAGTAAAAATCATGGTAAATAATTGGCAACTAGGTCGTAAATAACCTACAAATAATAACTCATGAATAACATGCGAATAAGCAAGTAATAAAACGGGACAAATAACCTGTAGATATTTTCTAGAGTTTGGTTAGAAGTTCACGTAAACGATACAAATACAAAGTTTTATAGTCCATACAAAGTTTTGTAGTCTTGGCCCACCCTTATTTATAATACAACAAGAAAATCATTGAGACAGATACGCATCAGTACCTTTCTTTTGTTGTTTTCCAAACTAAGAAACAAGATAAAATAATATAACAGAAAGATAAAAAGTCACTTCGGACCTCTCGCATGGCGTCTCAAGATTCTCTAGTGAGCTTCTTTTATCTACTCTTTTTGTCACTATCGTGAGCTCACAAACGCAGTGCCGGAATTTTGAGTCGATCATCAGTTTCGGCGATTCAATTACCGACACTGGAAACTTGGTCGGTCTCTCCCTGTGACTGCGTTTTAAACGTTTTAATTTGACTTTGTTTATCTCTGAGAAGAAAAAAAAAAGAAAAAGAAAAAAAAAACTGATAATTGCGTTTGAACCTCTGTTTTCTTGTTCTGGCACAACTTTTTCGGTTTAAGTTGTATAAAAACCTGAATACATCTGGATATTATTGATTAGGGTTTCTTATGTAAACTCTTTCTCTGTTTTAATATTTCTTGAACTGCAAGTTAACAGTGTGAGACCTTAAGTGATTCTCCAAAATTCTCTTTACAGCTGAATTCTTTATGGTTAACACATGTGCCTCCTTTTTATGGATCTAAAAATGGAAACTTTAAGAAAGGAGTTAATTTCGGCTAGAAAGTTCCATTCTTGAGGAGAGAGGAATTCATTATCCTCACAGCAACATTAGTTAGGGAATTCAGCTGAAGAGCTTCAAGGAGAGTTTACCAAATCTATGTGGTTCACCCAGTGGCGGAGCTAGAATTTAAATTTACCGGGGTCAAAATATAAAAAATTATTTTAATAAAATAGATGTGGTTGTTTTTTTTCTTCAAATTATATTGCATATAGCTTATGTTTTTTTTATTACATTTACAAAAATAATATTCGGATATTTCTAAAAAAATTTGGTTTGTCTAAAACATGATAATTAATATACATAACTATAAATGGGAGAAAACTTAAAATAGATAAAAGCAAAAATAATAAAAGTAAACGATATAGTGAAATACATGTAATTAGATTTATAATAATTAAAGAAAAAAGTAATATGCTATTAAATTACATGAAAACATTGTTCATAAAATTAAAAACAAAGAAACTTATATATAACAATTAATGGTTAATATTAAAAAAGTTATGGTTTAAGGGGTCAAAAGAGTAGTTTTCATATTCGGCAATGGGGTCAATTTATAAGAATTTAATCAAATATCTATGTATTTGTTTAAATATGCCATAGTATTAGTTTGATTTTGAAAATTCACCGGGGTCAGTTGACCCCCATGTTTCTATGCTACCTCCGCCACTGGGTTCACCTACAGGTACTGAAGATTAACTTTTCCTTTTCCTAGTGGAATCATTATTACGTTATTGAAGTGAATTGAGCTCACATGTAATGTTTTCCTTTGCTTTTAGATTGTAGAGGTATGATTGGAAATGCTTTGATTCTCATGGGAGAGATTGGAGGGACCATATGCGATTCATCCTTTCGATTGGTTATGCCTCGGCTCAAAAATTAAGAACAAGAAGTCATTAGACACGTAGTATTCTTTTGATGAACAGCTGAAACAAGCTTGTTGAAACTTTGAGAGATACTAAGAAAACAAATACGTTCTTAAGTGCCTTTGTTGTATATTGTAGTATATCATTTGTGTATTGTTGTTTGAGAGAGAGTGGTTAAGTGTTAGTAGCTAACTCATGTGATATCTTCCGAGAGATCTTAGATTAGACGGGTCGGATATGCAATGTTGCTAAAATGGAATCCACTTCAAGAGTGGTAGAAATAACAAAATAGGAGTTGAACGGATCAATTTGACTTAGTTTCCAGTGTTCAATACCATACCATACTAATCTTTCAAATCAATATATTGATAAGATTTAGATAATGATTTTAATTAAGACTAACATATTTAATTTAGCGGTTTTTGTTATTATCGTTGTTGTGTTATCATCCGGTTTCAAATCCGCATAATACATGTTATTGACAAAATAAAAATAAAAAATTGAAGTGAAACTCAAAATCAAATTACAATATGGTAAAGAATAAATAACCTACAAATAACTCGTAAATAACCTGCAAATAGGTTGCAAATAAGCCGCAAATACATATTTTATATATGGTGGTTAGAACTTAGAAGTCCAAGTACGCATTTTATAGAAGGGTGGTTAGAGGGAGGTCACATACCGGGCCGTCACATACCAATACAAAGTAGGTGGTCACGCATACCAATACAAAGTTTTGTTGTTATTAGAAAGTATATTGCTTTATTTATTACAACTAAAATCCTCGTTTAGTCATGAGTCATGATGACTCATTGGTCCTTCCATTGGCCTCTATATTTTTTGGTGAGTTCCATTGGCCTCTATATAACTTCCCCAAAACAAATGATTTGTAAAATAAAAATATTAATAGAAAGAAAAGTCACTCCTGACCTCTCCTATGGCGTCTCTAGATGCTCTACTGACCTTTCTTTATTCTACTCTTCTTGTCACTATCGTGAGCTCGGAAACGCCGTGCCAGAATTTCAAGTCGATCATCAGTTTCGGTGATTCGATTGCCGACACCGGGAACTTGGTCGGTCTCTCTAATCGTAACAATCTTCCTGTGACTGCGTTTCCACCATATGGAGAAACATTCTTCCACCACCCAACCGGCCGTTCCTGCGACGGCCGCATCATCATGGACTTTATCGGTACTTTTCTTTCTATATGACTCGATATGTGAGTGAATATCAAATTATGGTCCGTGAGAAGAATCCAAAAAATAATAATTAAACTGATAATTGTGTTTGAACCTATGTAAGAAGAAACCAAAGAGTTATTAATTAGTTATGGCTCTTTCTTAGTCTTCCTACGCTTTCTTGTTTTGTCCCAACTTTTTCGAGTTAATTTGTATTTAAATCTGAAAATATTGGGATATTCATTGGCTTCTATTTACAGCTGAATGTTTTAGGTTTGCTTATGCAAACTCTTTCTCTGTTTTTTTTTTCTTGAACTGCAAGTTAACAAAATGAGACCTTAAATGTGATTCTCCAATTTTTCTATTTACAGCTGAATTTGTGGGGCTTCCTTATGTGCCTCCTTACTTTGGATCTAAAAATGGAAACTTTGATAAGGGCGTTAATTTCGCGGTAGCTGGAGCAACGGCACTGGAAAGTTCCTTTCTTATGAAGAGAGGAATTCATCCACACACCAACGTTAGTTTAGGAGTTCAGCTTAAGAGCTTCAAGAAGAGTTTACCAGATCTATGTGGCTCGCCATCAGGTAGTGTGGATCAATTTTTCCCTTTTCTTGGCTAAGTCATTATTGTATTTGTAGTGAACTGAGCTCACTTGTATATGTTTTTAGATTGTAGAGATAAGATTGGAAATGCTTTGATTCTCATGGGAGAGATTGGAGGGAATGATTATAATTTCCCATTCTTCGAACGCAAACCCATTAAAGAAGTTAAAGAGCTGGTTCCGTTTGTGATCGCTACTATTTCTTCTGCAATCACGGTAAACATTTTTAATCGAATTCTTGATTTGATAGTCCTTAGACCGAGTGAAACAGATTTCTATCTACTGATTTGTTTGTCAGAACTATAATGTGTTTGTTCCATTGGGACTGAATGTTGAATCCAGGAGTTGATTGGTATGGGGGCAAAAACCTTTCTAGTGCCCGGAGAGTTCCCTATCGGATGCTCAGTAGTCTATTTGACATTATATCAAACATCAAACAAGGAAGAATACGATCCTTTAACAGGATGTTTGAAATGGCTGAACAAGTTTGGCGAATACCACAGCCAGCAACTTAAGACGGAACTCAACAGACTTAGGAAGCTCAACCCTCATGTCAACATCATATACGCTGACTACTACAACGCTCTCTTGCGCCTTTTTAAAGAACCAGCCAAATTCGGTTAGACTTCTTGATTCCTCCACTGAATCTACACACCTAAGTCACTGATTTAGTATTGACAATTTTTCCTATCAATGATACTGTCAGGGTTCATGGACAGACCCTTGCATGCTTGTTGCGGTATAGGAGGACAGTACAACTTCAACTTCACTAGAAAATGTGGGAGTGTAGGAGTGGAATCTTGTAAGGATCCTTCAAAGTATGTGGGCTGGGACGGCGTTCATATGACTGAGGGTGCATACAAATGGATAGCTGATGGAATACTCAAAGGACCATATGCGATTCCTCCTTTTGGTCGGTCCTGCCTCAGATCTGAGATTAAGAACAAGGAGTCATTAGACAAACAATTTACTCTGGCACAAGCTTGTGTGAAACTTTGAGAGACAAAACTGATAATGAGAAAAACATATACTCTCCTATTCCTTATTTATTCAAACTCTAGAGAAACATTGTTGCAAAAAGATATATTTTTAGGTTTTTATGTATTGTTTATTACTTATTGATGATGATGAAATTGTAGACTTCAAGAAAGATAATTAAATATTATTGGTTTAAAATTGTGGAAAACTGTTAATCACAAAAATGATGTATATATAATCAATATTTAATCTTTTTTTTTTAATATGTGTGAAAAGCTTAAATTTTCGATTAATCAAAAACAGAGAGAGTATGCTTTTAAGTGCTCGTGTTGGAGGGACATGAAGGGATGGCTCACCTGATGGCCTTGGCCCCCGGAAATATACAGCTCCGGAACTTTGTAATCAATACTCCCTCTGTTTTGATATAGTTGTCGTTCTAGGTTTATGTTTTTGTTTTAAAATACTTGTCATTCTCGTTTTTCAATGTATGTTTTGTCAAAAAATTCCAAATATAACCTCAATTAAACTTACACAATATATAATATGTATTTAATTATATTTATTTGTGGGGTTAAAGTAGTCAATTTATAAAACTCCTTAATCTACATAAAACAACCTAGAACGACAAGTAATTCAAAACGGAGATAGTAATAAATAAAGATGTGCAAAATAGATCTAGTCAAAGTGCCTGTTTTAAACGATACGAATACAAAGTTTTGTAAGCCATACAAAGTAAATTGCCTTGGCCCACCCTCATTTATTAGACAACAAGAAACTCATTGAGTCATGACTCATCGGTCCATCCCAACCATTTGGTTCTATTTAACTTTTCCAAAACAAAATAAGTTGAAAATCATAATAAAATAGATATATCTATAAAAAAAAGATAATAGACAGAAAGATAGAAAGCCAGTTCGGACTTGTCGCATGGCGTCTATAGATCAAACAAGTAATAAACGAGATCTCAAAGGAAGTTAAAAATATCTCCCTTTATAAACGAGCCCAAATTTAGGCAAATACGGACTGATTATAAGGGAAGTTACTCGTCGGATTAACTAACAAATGGCCTAAGCCGAACTGGAAGTAATCTTGGACGAGCTGTGGATCGACGTACAGTGGGTTCGGCGAATTCATGTCTTTAGCTGGAGATTGATTTATACTCTTTCTCTCTTTGTCAGTGGAAATTGCGGATCTCCGTATTTACGAGGTACTTTGTCGATTCTCACCCTATGTCAAATGTCAGGAATACCCCTCCTCTTCTTGATAACGTGGCTCGTCGACGGGCCACATCTTTTGCTCTTCTTGGGCTTTTATTGAACAGGGTCGGGCCTTTTAAGAGGGGGATGAGCCTACCCTGATGAGCCTCTTTATATATGACTACTCTTTATGTCACTATCGTGAGCTCGGAATCACAATGCCGGAATTTCGAGTCGATCATAAGTTTTGGCACTCGATTACCGACACCCGGAAACTTGCTCGGTCTCTCGAATCGCAACGACGATCTTCCTGAGACCGTGTTTCCACCGTATGGAGAAACTTTCTTCCACCATCCAACCGGCGGTTCCTTGGACGACCGCATCATCATCGACTTTATAGGTACTTCTCTTTCTGTATAACTCGAAATGTGAGTGAGCCTTTACGAATGGAAAATTATATTCTGACTGGAATAACGAATTATGGTCTCAAATAGAGTATTTTAAACGTTTTAAATTGGCTATGTTTTTACTCTGACCAGAATCCGAAAAAAAAAAGGCTCTGATAATTGTGTTTGAATCTATGTGAGAAGAAACGAAGGAATTATTAATCAACTACAGTCACTTTCTTCGTTTTCCTTGATCTGCAAAGTCAACAGTATGAGACCTTTAGTGATCCTCCAATTTGTCTTCTTACCGCAACATCAGTTTAGGTATTCAGCTAAAGAGCTTCAATGAGAGCTTACCAAATCTATGTGGCTCGCAATAATGTATTTTCAGTGAATGGAGCTCATTTGTATTTGTTTTTAGACCGTAGAGATATGATTAAAATGCTTTGATTCTTATGGGAGAGATTGGAGGGAAAGCATCCATTTGATATTCATATCAAACCACCAAACACGGATGAATATGATCCTCTAACAGGATGTTTGATATGGCTAATATGATCCTTGGCAAGAAATTACGTTATCTGGGATTCGAAACACAGAGCTTGTGTAAAAGCCTTTAAACCATTAACCAATGAGCTAATGGTGCATTCACGGTTCTTACCTATTTATATTTTAAATAATATTAAATCCAATATTTTATTATCAAATATTACCATAGGAAACAAAATAAAAAAAAAAGAAAATTATGGGGAGGGTATTTCTTTCAAAGTAGCCTCAAAGTTGCAACTACTGCATCAAATATGAGGAAATGGACAAACACGGCAAGAGAAGCCCTTCTCTAGTGTCTCTCTACCTAAAACTTGATTATTATTTTTTCTCCTAGAAAATATATAGAAAGAGAAGGAGAGCAACCTTGGGGCCTCTCCCATGGCATCTCCAGATTCTCTTCTGGTGATGAAGCTCGTGAGCTTCTTATTATCTACTCTTTTGGTCACTTCTGCGAACTCGCAAACGCAATGCCGGAATTTCAAATCAATCATTAGTTTCGGGGATTCAATTGCCGACACTGGAAACTTACTAGGTCTCTCGGATCCTAACAATCTTCCTGCTTCAGCATTTCCACCATACGGAGAAACCTTCTTCCACCACCCAACCGGTCGTTACTCCGACGGCCGCCTCATCATCGATTTCATTGGTACGTTTATTTACTTAAGCTATGAGTGATTGTGATGAGTGTGTACGAAGTTGAAACCAAAAGAGTTCTTAATTATCTTCAGTTACCCGTACTTTGTTTTCTTCTCCTGGATGAATTTGCTTGAATAGCAAGTTTTATCGAATAAAACCTAAAATCATCTAAGGGTTGTTAAGTTTTTTATCTAAAAAAAAGAGTGTGGTTTAGGTTCCTCAACTTTCAGCACTCTCTCATGCTTTGGTTCTGTTCACAGCTGAGTTCTTGGGTTTTCCGCTTGTGCATCCTTTTTATGGATGTCAAAATGCAAACTTTGAAAAGGGAGTTAATTTCGCGGTCGCGGGAGCAACAGCATTAGATACTTCCTTTCTTGAGGAGGGAGGAATTCATTCTGATATTACCAACGTCAGTCTAAGCGTTCAGCTTAGGAGCTTCAAGGAAAGTTTGCCTAACTTATGTGGCTCACCTTCAGGTTGGGATGCTCAACTTTTTATTCTCTGTATTTGGTGTTTCATGTTTTATACTTTTATATGATCAAACTATCCAGATTTTATTTTCTTATATGCTTATATATATTGCTATAAGTTGTGTAATACTTGATTTTGCCGTTTTGTATTTAGATTGTAGAGATATGATTGAAAATGCTTTGATTCTCATGGGAGAGATCGGAGGAAATGATTATAATTTCGCACTCTTCCAGCGCAAAGCCATTGAGGAAGTTGAAGAGCTGGTTCCGTTTGTGGTCAGTGCCATTTCTTTGGCAATTAAGGTAAACATTCTTGATCATCAAGCCAGTTCCGGGAATGACTAAAACATATTTGTATCTACACTGATAATTAGTTTGTTAAGAAAAAAACATGTACATGTTACGTTATTTTGAAACTGATTGTTGAATCCAGGAATTGGTCTGTATGGGAGGAAGAACATTCCTAGTTCCTGGAAATTTTCCGCTCGGATGCTCAGCAGCTTATTTGACATTATACCAAACATCAAACAAGGAAGAGTATGATCCTCTAACAGGATGTTTGACATGGCTGAACGTTTTTTCAGAATATTACAACGAGCAGCTTCAGAAAGAACTCAACAGACTCAAGGAGTTGTACCCTCATGTCAACATCATATATGCTGATTACTACAACGCTTTGTTGCGCCTTTTCCCAGAACCAGCCAAATTCGGTTAGCTTTCTTGATTTACTCCACAGAATCTACACAACCAAGTCACTCATTTGATTCACTAATTGACATATTTTGTTATCCACTAAGGGTTTATGAACAGACCCTTGCCCGCTTGTTGCGGTTTAGGAGGATCGTACAACTTTAACTTTAGTAGAAGATGTGGGAGTGTAGGAGTTGAATACTGCAATGATCCTTCAAAGTATGTGAATTGGGATGGCATTCATATGACTGAAGCCGCATACAGATGGATATCTGAGGGCTTACTCAAGGGACCGTATGCTATTCCTACTTTCAATTGGTCATGCCTAAGCTCCGAGATTATGAATAAGAAGTCATTAGATACTTAGATTCTTGATGAAAAGCTGATACAAGGTTGTCTGAAAGTTTGAGAGACCAAGAGAAATATATTATTTCATGAAATGAAATGTTAGTAGTATATATTATTAACAATACTAAATGAAATGTTACATACATTATTTCATGCTTTACTAGTTCTTTTAAAAGGAATAAAATTAAGAAAATTAGTAAAATATAATCCTGTCGAAATAATGCCCAATTTTTTTATTTTTTCCCCCAATGGACCATTTAAGCTTCATGTAATGTTGTTAGGATTATCACTTTGTGTGAAGCCTAACTCTCATTTCAATGATAACATTAAAACCAAAGAAAAAAGAACTCTCGTTTCAATGATATATATTACAGTATCTTAGAGCATCCACAATGGGGTAAGTGTGAGTGTGGGTGTAAAATTTTTTTTATTATTATAATTTAAAGAGAGAGAGAAAAGAGAGAGAGAAAAAAAGAGAGAGAAAGAGAGAGAGTGTCTTACACCCGAGTGTAAAGTTACACCCGGGTGTGAGGAGAGAGACAACTTTTCTCTTATTTTCGATTACTTTAATAGTCACACCCGGGGAGAAAATGCGCCATTGCGCATGGCCTTACTATAAAAGAAACAAATGATGCTAAAATTAATGGAAAGCCAAAATAAAAGTCTCAGTGATGGGTCCAAGAGAGAGTGACGAAAGAGAGGAAACTAGACAGATACGACAGTAATGACTGATGAGAGTTGATCCTCGAAGATAATATTGGGATTTGCTCACAAGAATGTGTTGTGTGTCTTTTTGCTAAAAAGGCCAATACGAAAATCGTAGATAATTTGTTTCATCTACCACAGACAGTGTCAACCACTTTATCCTTGACCAAAAAAATAAATAAATAACTCAAATATCAATTTATACAATCAACGAATATCATTGTGCAAAACAAAACACAACCATACTGCATCCAATAATTGATCTTTTTTATCATTATTATTATTTTACCCTTTGTAGTGTGGCCAGGGGGGTATTTTCAAAAGACTATTTTGACAAATCAACATCACTATTAAAAAAGGATCTCGACGGAGACCAACCTCCGGCTCTCTGGCAATGGCGTCTCCCGACTATACTTTCTTGATGAAGCTCCTCATCTTCATCTTTTTATCAACTTTTATTGTCACTAACGTCAGCTCGGAAACTAAGTGCCGGGAGTTCAGATCGATCATCAGTTTCGGAGATTCGATTGCAGACACTGGAAACTTGCTTGGCCTCTCAGATCCTAACGATCTTCCTCACATGGCGTTTCCACCGTACGGAGAGACCTTCTTCCACCACCCAACTGGTCGTTTCTCCAATGGCCGCCTCATCATTGATTTCATCGGTACGTTAATTGTGTCCTTGGACTTTACTTAAGGTGTGAGTAAGTGTATGAAGGTGAAACCAAAAGACTTATTAAATTTCATCACCCCTTTCTTTGTTACTTGGTAAGCAAGTTTGATTGTGTAAAACCTGAAATCATCTAAATACAGAAACCATTAAGTGTGGTGAAGTCTTTATTGGTTCCTCAACTTACAGCTCTTTCATGTTCTTTTCTTTGGTTCTGTTCTCACAGCTGAATTCTTGGGTTTACCGCTTGTGCCTCCTTTTTATGGATCTCAAAATGCAAACTTTGACAAGGGAGTTAACTTCGCGGTAGGGGGAGCAACGGCACTGGAACGTTCCTTTCTTGAAGAGAGAGGAATTCATTTTCCTTACACCAATGTCAGTTTAGGCGTTCAGCTTCAGAGCTTCAAGGAGAGTTTGCCTAGCATATGTGGCTCTCCTTCAGGTTGGGATGATTAACTATTTATTTTCTGTACTTGGTGTTTCCTGTTTTATATGGTTAGAATATCAACACTTTTAGTTTCTGTAGTTGCTCTTCAAAAAAAACATTCGTTCTGTTTTGGGTTATGCTTAGTGATCTTGTAGAATAATGGCTTACTTTTTGTAATCTTGTTTTAGACTGCAGAGATATGATAGAAAATGCTTTGATTCTCATGGGAGAAATTGGAGGGAATGATTATAATTACGCATTTTTCGTGGACAAAAGCATTGAAGAGATAAAGGAGCTGACGCCCCTGGTGATCACTACTATTTCTTCTGCAATCACGGTAAACATTTCTCTTTTCATCAAATTCTTGATCTGCCTGGGAACAACGACTGACTGAGTATTCGATAGCACAGGAGTTGATCAGTATGGGGGGAAGAACATTTCTGGTGCCCGGAGAGTTCCCAGTTGGATGCTCAGTATTCTATTTGACATCACATCAAACATCAAACATGGAAGAATACGATCCTTTAACCGGATGTTTGAAATGGCTGAATAACTTTGGAGAAAACCACGGCGAGCAGCTTCGAGCAGAACTCAAGAGACTTCAGAAGTTGTACCCTCATGTCAACGTCATATATGCTGACTACTACAATGCTCTGTTGCGCCTTTACCAAGAACCAGCCAAATTCGGTTAGACTTCTTGATCCTTCTACTGAACTACACAAACAAGTACATAGACCAATTTGCTAACCGAGTTAGTTATGCAATCAGGATTCATGAACAGACCCTTGTCTGCTTGTTGCGGCTCAGGAGGACCGTACAACTATACCGTAGGTAGAAAATGTGGGACTGATATAGTTGAAAGTTGTAATGATCCTTCAAAGTATGTGGCTTGGGACGGCGTTCATCTGACTGAGGCTGCCTACAGATTGATGGCTGAGGGTATACTAAAGGGACCCTATGCGATTCCTCCTTTTGATTGGTCTTGCCTTAGCTCTGGAATTAAGAAGAGTGGGTCATCTGACGCATAGAATTCTTAGATGAGTACAACTGATACAAGTTGGTCAAAAAATTGAGAGAAAGTTTACTGATAAAAAACATGTATGTTCCTTAGTGCTTGTAGTAGATCATGTTCATGCATGTATTTGAGTATTTGACAATTTGTATTGTTGTTATGTGAAATAAATTTAAGGGTCAATTTGTGTAGAGACAAAAATGAGATAGAAAATTAGGTAATCAACATTATTGGTTTGTGGTCTTCAACAGAGATAAATAAAGCTAACAAATAGGCTTGAAGTTCAGAATATTTACGAAAAAACCACCTCTTTTTTTAATGATGCACGTGGAAGCAACGGTTTTGACTTTTTGGGAAACAAAAAAAGCAACTGACAGTTAATAAATGTTCAACAGTGAAGTAATAAATAAGACATTTGATTTATTGCAAAAACGTAGAGAACGAAAATGTATGTAGAGTTAGGCCTGGGCATATTAACCGGAACCGAATACCCGAACCGAACCGACTCGAAATTTTGCAATTCGGTTCGGGTATTGAGATTTGGTTTTAACCGATCGGTTCCCACTTTCAATATATTTCGGGTATGTCTTCGGTTTGGGTAAAAACCGATACCCGAATGGTTACTTTATAAACCCGAAATTAATACCCGATTAATACTAATCTACCCTAATTATAATTGTCAACATTACCCTATACTCGGTTCTTCCCCTTTCCCGACATTTATACCCTAAGTCTCTCTAAAAAAACCCTAAGCCTCTATTTTCAATATTCAATCTGGAATCTTCATCAAGAAATCGATCTGCAGTAAGTCTTCTCTCCTTCATCTGTTCTTCTTTCCTTCGTGTGTTCTTCTCGAATTGATGGTTGTTTGACTTAGGGTGTTTGTCGATTAGATACAATTTCGATTCAACCGTCTGTTCTTCTCTACTTCTCGATTCAGTCGTCTGTTCTTCTCTACTCTCTACTTCTCGACTGTGTTTCTTGTTGATTTTAGTATTTTAGAGTTTTGTTGATTATGAATTTCGATTTCAATCTGATTTTGATTGTTCTTTTCGTTTTGACTATTTTTATTAGATGGGTTCATCATCACTTCCAGAAGAAGATGTTGATGTGGATACGAATGCTGAAACTCAAGATACAGAAGATGATTTGAGGGCTCCTGAGAATCGAAAGAGAAGAAAAGAGTCAAAAGAAGCTTCAGGGAAAAGTTCTTCTAAGAGTAAGGGCAAGGGAAAGAGCAAAGAAGAGAGAGAAAGGTCGTATGTATGGGAGCATTTTACCAGATTGAAGGATAATACTAACAAATGTACATGTCACTACTGTGGGAAGACACTAGCCTGTCCTACAACATCAGGGACTTCAAATCTGTAGAAGCATCTGACATTCGCGTGCAAGCAATTCAAGGCTTGGCAAGATAGTGAAACGAAGAAGATTCTAAATCTGGATGGTAGTCATGTGATGGCTGGTAAGGTCTCAATTGAAGTGGTTAGAGAAGCAACAAATGAAATGCTTGTATTAGGACAGATGCCACTTTTATTCATTGAAAGCATAACTTGGAGACATTTCACTACCAAATGCAACATGTACAAGCCAGTTTCTAGAAGAACTGCAACAAGAGACATCTATGAGATGTTTGTGAAGCGGAAAGAAGATGTGAGGAAATGGATGCGTGCAACTAAGCAGAGGGTCTCTCTCACTACTGATATATGGACAGCTCACTTAACTGGTGCAAGTTATATGGTAATAACTTGCCATTTTGTTGATGCAAATTGGCATTTAAGGAAGCTGATCATAGGGTTTAAGTATGTGGCTGATCATAAAGGGTCAACAATTGCAGCTGTTTTGATGTCTTGCTTGGCTGACTGGGGTATAGTGAAGATCTTCACTATCACTTTTGATAATGCAACAGCCAATACTTTTGCTCTTCAGAAATTTGAAAGAGACTTCAGGGCAAAGAATGGGAATGATGCATTCATATTAGATGCTGAGATGATGCATATGCGGTGTTCTGCTCACATCATTAATTTGATAGTCAAAGATGGATTGCAGAAGATCAATTCCCATGTGGAAGCAGTTCGGAATGCAGTGACTTTTGTGAGATCTTCTACAAAGAGATTGATCTCATTTGATCAAAGGGTTGATGACTCTAATTTGAGTAGAGGAAGCTTACCTCTAGATGTCGAAACCAGGTGGAATTCAACCTATTTGATGCTCACAAAAGCGCAATTATTCAGAGAAGCTTTTGATCGGATGGAAGCTGAAGATAAGATCTACAACAACTACTTCTTAGAGATGGAAAAAGGCAAGAAAAGGGTTGGTCCTCCTACTTATTTGGATTGGGTGGAGATAGATAGAATGGTAAAGTTTCTGAACTTCTTTTATACTGCTACTTTAATTGTCTCTGCTTCTACATAGGTCAACTCATATAAGTGTTATGGAGAGATAGCTACAATAGAGAAGAATATGATACTATTGAGTCATGATCATGATGAGGAAATGAGGACTAGGGCTAAGGATATGAAAGAGAAGTTTGATAAGTATTGGGAGGGTTTTAAAAATATCAATAAGCTTTTGATTATGGCTACTGTCTTTGATCCGACTAAGAAAATGCAATTTGCTCAGCTTTGCTTTGATAGGGTCTATGGGAAAGATAGTCTAGATTCTAAAGAGTTGTATGATTCTACATATTTTGTGTTGACTAGTCTTTTTAAGGAGTATAGTAGCATGTTTCCCAAAGTCTCTGATTCATCATCGTCTAATACTGTTGGGAGCAATTCTGCTAGCCATGAACAAGCTACTGGATATGGTGAAGGTGAGTTAGAATATGCAAATGCTTCTCTTGGTGGTGGATTTGAAAGAATGCAGTCTGTTTATGATGAGATGGTTGATGAGATAGGAGTTCATGATGCAAGGGATGAATTAGACATGTATTTGAAAGAAAAGGTTGAGCATCCAAAGAGTAATATGTTTGGTAATGAGTATGATGTCATGGATTGGTGGAGGCGCAATTCTGGTAAGTTCCCTATATTATCAGAAATAGCAAGAGATGTATTTGCTATGCAAGTGTCATCAGTCGCATCGGAATCTGCCTTTAGTACAAGTGGACGCATGCTGGAACCAAGTAGGAGTTGTCTTAGTCATTACACCATTGAGGTTTTGATGTGCACAGACCAATGGATGAAGTCAGAGATGAAGTTAAAGGAGCAATATGCTATGAGTAATGCAAGTATATATGCTGACTTTGAGACACAAGATGAGCTGGAGAAAGGTTGGTTTTACTTTATTTCTCAATTATACTTGTAGCATTTTAGGTATTTACCTACTGATAATTGTGTTCTCTAAATGATTTTCAGAGTTTGGAGCATTAGGAGTAGGCGAGTAGCTCTACAAGACTCATACTCGGCTTTTTTTTGGGTAATAATCCTCAATCTTATGCAAATTTCTCTGTCTAAACTGTTTTTGGTATTGATGAATCTTCTTTTCCATGTAACAGGAACAATGGAACATGTTGTGTTTCTGATGCTTGTATGTTTCTGGTAACTTTAACAACAATTGAAATGTTTGTGTTTCGTTTCTCTTTTGAATTTAGACAATTACTAAGTTTATGTAACTGTTTTGTTTGGTTTCAATTTAGACAATGCATCAGTTTATCTATATGTTTGTCTTTGGTTTCAATTCAAACATGCATGAGTTTAGGATTGAGATGGTTTGTATAACCAGGTTTTGCATGTTTGGTTATTTTTGGTTACTTTTGGTTATTTTTGGTTACTAATTACCCGAATTGTACCCGAACCCGAACAAAATCTAAATATTTCGGGTATTCAACGGTTCTTAAATTAAATAGAATACCCAACCCGAACCCGAAATAGAACCGAACCGAACCGAACCCGAACCGAATTTTTAGAATACCCGAATGGGTCTCGACCCCTACCCGAATAGACCCGATACCCGAAAAAAAAGAACCGAACCCGAACGGGTACCCGAATGCCCAGGCCTATGTAGAGTGCTATTAATATTTATATACATATAAACACGTATATAGAGCGTTATTAATATTTATATACATGAAACCACATATATAAAGAGTTATTATTATTTTTACATTTGTAAATATTTAAATATAGATCTTCAAACAAATTTGGACATCCACGCAAACCAAATTTGGGCATCCACACAGATCTATAACGCAAAAATGCAGATCTAACTGAACTCTTGGAGAGATATCAAAGAATATAGATAAATAAAAAATATCCGGATTTTCCTTCACGACATAATGAATAGTATATACGGCGAATTCTCCGACGCATCAGAGTAAAATAGTATACACGATACAACAAAGTGACTAATATACACAACGAACCAGTTAAATCAAAATAGAGAAAAATTGAACAATAGTGTTAGAGGAAGATGATGAGACTTGAGAAAATGATGAACAGTAAATGAACATCCAAGAGATAATTTGACGTGTTTGTCTTATTTATTACGATGAAAACGCGTGGGGTCAGTTTAGGCAAAAAATTGGACTAAATATTACATTGTTTTAGACTCTATATTGGATTACCAAAAAACTAATTTTACCCAGATCCATAGTCTCTCACCCAATTATCTCTAAATTTAAAGGGTATTGTTGGCATGTTTCATGTATAGTCCACTTCATACGGAGAGTAAGTGAGTAACAAACCAGTGACGGCTTGGATAACTTGCAACTTCACCATCGACACTAATCGGGACTGTTGATCGTATAGTTAGGAAGCGGCTATCCCCTTTCTCCAAAACCCGGGCTCACACTCCATGGAACATGTGTAAAATCTTTTTCCATATTCCTTCATTTTTATTGATCAATAGACAAATCTTCCCACTACTCTGACTATTAATTTTCTTTCCTCTATTTCAATACATCCAACTTCCATTCTTTTACTCTAGTGATTAACCAATCACACCCATAATTAGAGTAATTACCCAAAATATGTACTAGATATCAAAATTGTACCTAAATCATTTCATTAACCACAACCCATTCATTGTGGTCCAATAGTTAAAAGATTCATTATCGAGTTTGAAAGTGAAGGTTCCAGTATTGCCACTATGATCATTATAAAGGAAAAAAACAAATTATCCCCATGAAGCTCATCCCTAAACCACATAAAAAAGATACTACGTCTAGTGTCTCCGAGCCAATAGTGTCTCTTTCCAAAAAAGTTATTTTGAAAAGTTTCCAATTAACCTCTGGCCTCTCATGGCTTCTCTGATCATGAAGAAGCTCCTGAGCTTCTTTCTAATTCTATCTACTGTTTTACTCACTATTGTGATCTCGGAACCACAGTGCCATAATTTCAAATCTATCATTAGTTTTGGCGATTCGATTGCCGACACGGGAAACTTGCTCGGTCTCTCGGATCCTAACAATCTCCCTCAGGTCGCGTTTCTACCGTACGGAGAAACCTTCTTCCACCATCCGACCGGCCGTTTCTCAAACGGCCGGCTCATCATCGACTTCATCGGTACGTTCTCTTTAGTTGAGGTGTGAGTGAGAGTGTGTACGAAGGTAGAAATTCAGATCTTAGTTGATACGATACGACCAGAGACTTTCCCGAAAAAATTACTTCCACAAATAAAAGTTCCAAAAAGTTTGGAGCATGTACTATTTTGGATTGGCATGACACGTGTTTAGGTCTAGCTCCATAGACTTTCTCTGGAGCATAATTGAATCATGGACTTGTAATATTATTTGGTTTCACCGAGCTTGAAAAACACAAATGAACAATGGATTTTAATGTATAAGCATAAAGCACTTACATATTATGTAATTTTTTTTGTTAATCTAAACGCCTAGCAGACAATGATCAATGTTTTCTGCTTCTTGTTGAAAATTTTGTGAGAAGAAACCAAAAGATCTTTGGCTCTTTCTTTGTCTTTTTTTCCTGATGTAACTCCTCCCCTGTTTTATTGTTTGTGTGTAACTCTTCCTTTAACTTCTTCTTGATACTTTGGCTTGAGTAGCAAGTTTGATTAATTAAAAGCTGAGATTATCTAAATACAAAACCATTAAGTGTAGTGAAGAAGCCTTATTGATTCCTGAATTTACAGTTCTTTTCTTTGGTTCTGTTCTCACAGCTGAATTCTTGGGTTTTCCGCTTGTGCCTCCCTTTTACGGATCTCGAAATGCAAACTTTGAGAAGGGAGTTAATTTCGCGGTTGGGGGAGCAACGACACTGGAACGTTCCTTTCTTGAAGAGAGAGGAATTCATTTTCCTTTCACCAACGTTAGTTTAGCCGTTCAGCTTAGTAGCTTCAAGGAGAGTTTATCTAGCTTATGTGGCTCTCCTTCAGGTTTGGAAGATCAACATTTAGTTTCTGTATTTGGTGTTTCCTGTTTTATATGATTAGAATATCAAATCTGATTTCTTACGCTCCCATCGTACCATACTAGAGTTATGAAATATTAGCAGCATGGAATAGTTTCTGGCGGTTCATTTTGGTTAAGAAGAAGAAAGTCACAACAAAAGTGAAGAAAAAAAAAAGTTCTGTTTTGAGATGTGCTTAGAGATCCTACCCGTTTTTGTTAAACTCCAAGATGCAATGAATCGAGCTCACTTGTAAAATAATGGTTTACTTTGTAATCTTGTTTTAGACTGCAAAGATATGATAGAAAATGCTTTGATTCTCATGGGAGAAATTGGAGGGAATGACTATAATTACGCATTCTTCACGGGCAAAAACATTGAAGAGATCAAAGAGCTGGTTCCACTTGTTATTGGAACCATCTCTTCTGCAATCACGGTAAACACTTCTCTTTCTGAATATAGCAGTCCAAAGTTTTGGGACTGAGTTGAGTTTTGAATTTTGGAAGCATAAAATATTCAGGAGTTGATCGGTATGGGGGGAAAAACATTTCTGGTGCCCGGGGAGTTCCCGCTCGGATGCTCAGTAGTGTATTTGGAAGCATACCAAACACCAAACATGGAGGAATATGATCCTTCAACCGGATGTTTGAAATGGCTGAACAAGTTTGCAGAATACCACGACGAGCAGCTTCAAGCAGAACTCAAAAGACTTCAGAAGTTGTACCCTCATGTCAACATTATATACGCTGACTACTACAACGCATTGTTGCGACTTTCTCAAGAACCAGCCAAATTCGGTTAGTAGACTTCTTGATCCTTATACTGAACCTACACAAAAAGATTTAATTTTCTAACCGAGTTAGTTAATTATCCAATCAGGGTTCATAAGCAGACCCTTGCCCGCTTGCTGCGATTTAGGAGGACCGTTTAAATTCACCTTAGGTAGGAAACGTGGGACTCAAGTACCTGAATGTTGTGACGATCCTTCAAAGTATGTGAGTTGGGACGGTGTTCATATGACTGAGGCTGCGTACAGATTGATGGCTGAGGGTATACTAAAGGGTCCTTATGCGATTCCTCCTTTCGATTGGTCTTGTCTCAGCTCTGAAATTAAGAACAATGGATCATCTGATACATATAAGTCTTTGATGAACAACTGAGATAAGTTGGTCAAAAAATTGAGACAAGGATACTGATAATATAACATGTATGTTCCTCGGTCCTGATCATTTGGATCATGCGTGTGTGTATTTGACAATTTGTATACAAGTTATATAATTAAATGGGCTACAGGCCCATATTAGACAAGGTAGTTGGGTTTGTTGATTGGCAGACGAATCAAATAAACCATCGGTTAACAATTGAACCGGGTTTTATTACAGATTCAGAGACTTCTTAATATCAGCTTCGACTCTTCTTCTTCTTCTTCTTCTTCTTCTTCCCCACGACGACGACGAGCTCCTTCGATTGATGACTGCAATAATCCTCAATCGCATCGCATAAAGCTAAACCCCAATCCTTTCTCCTTCTGAAACCCTAATTTAGCGTTTCCTGAAGTCGCAAAATTGAGTTTTGTTTTTTCAAAAATCGAAACCTAAAATCTCAATTCTGTGGGAAATTTCAAAGACTCATCAAATTCTCTTTTCACTGTCATCTTCGTCTACTCTCTATTCGACCCAGTAAGTTTGTCTTCCACTTTGACTCTTTCCAGCATCCATGGTCTCACGTTTTTTGAAGAATGATTTTGAATTATACTATTATGCATTCAATGGCGGTTTTTATCAATGTTTAATATAGTGGTGACATTGACACTATGAAGTATGAATGATGCTGATGGTTGTTCTTGTAGGTATCAATATTGACCTTTCTACTGTTATGCCTTGTAAGTAATTATAGTTTTTGTTTGGTGATTTTTGTTCAGAGACTGTAGTACATTTGGTGCTATCAGAGAGAGAGAGAGACAGAGATAGTGAAGAAAAACATAGCAAAAATGGAGAGTGATAGTGATAGCGAGAGCGAGGGAGAGAGCAGTGAACATAAGACCACTACTTCAGTGGTACCCAGAGGTGGCCCAATTTATCTGCCAAACATGGTTGGAAATATTTCTACCGTCCCTGAATTCAAGTCTTCATTTCTCAATGTACTACAGGATTTGGAAACTCATTTATCTCTGGAGTTTACTTCCTCTTCTCACCAATTTGATGTCTCGTACGTATTCTTGCATCAATTGGCTCTTTTCTTTATCTGTGAAAATCTGGTTTTATACATTAAGGTTATGTAATTGGGAGGATTTTTGATGCAGAACTGATAGTCTCAAGATTTATACAGAGGAGGAACTCACAGAGATGGCTATGAAGGAAGCCTTTCCGGTACGTTGCCAAATCGTTTATTGATTTGTTTTGCTCTTTTGCTGTCTTTTGAAGTGTGAGAACTTGGGTCTTGATGAGGTTGGTTCTTATTTCATTACAGGAAGATAACGTTTCCCAAAAGGATCTCGAACAATCTTTAGACGCTTCTCATCAGTAAGTATCATTTCCAGACTTTCTGTATTTTTCGATATAATGCTTCCCTTTGTGTGAATCCTTAGTAAAAACGAATTGGCATGTAGCTTCTTTCTATTAGTGTGCTTCAATGGTGGTTAAGTGTTTTTGTTCACAGTCTCAATTGGTTCTGGTTCAGCCGTGCAAGCTCTCAATGTATATCTAAAGTCCTGTTTTAGCTTAGTTATCGTGAAATATATATAAGTTTACAGGTTGTACATGATTAGAAAGCTTTGAGAGACACTGTAAGATTGACGTAGACAATTGTAGAACGATAACAAACAGTTACCTCCTCTGTATCCTGCAGTGAAAATCCATCAGCTGGGAGGGCAAAGAGGAAGAGGACAGTAAATAATACTGAGGTAAAGAAGAGGACAGAAAAGAAGACTGAGTTAAAGAAGAGGACAGAAAAGAAGACTGGGGTGAGTTTTTATGTAACATGGTCTTGGCATGGCTGGCAATTAGTTTCTTTTCCGTAGCTATTTGTGTTTAGGATCTCTTGATACCAAATTTACATGGTCCTGGTAATGATGGCTTTATTGCATTTTTCATGATTGATATGGTCAAATTTTTGTTTTCAGGAAGCTTATCTTGCCAAAGTCGAGCAGCTTGCTAAACTCAAACAAAAGCAGGAGGAGGATAAAGCAGCTGTGACACTGCACTGCTTCAGGTCTGTAATTACTATTGCATAGTCTGGTTTGTTGATGTACCTTGTCTCTTTTTTGCTGATGTTTCTTCGATTTGACCCTTTTTCAGCAAGACTTGTGAGACTGGTAAAGATGTAGCTGCACCTCCAGAAGGCTTTGAGCAGATGCAATCTCTTAGGTTCATAGATAATAATTACACGGCAAGTGATTTCCCCCTTGCAATGTCTTTTAGTGTTGATTATGCTAGTCCAAATTTTAAACTGCTTATGCATCCTGCTAAGTATTATCTTCTTCCTATTTAAACAGCAGGTGAAGCCATCGGACATCCAGGGACAAGTGGATCCGCTATTTCCTGAAGTCATTTTGTGTCTTGAGATTTATAACAGTCGCAAGGTTAAGGTACTGCATTGTTCTGTAAACCTCTGATGCGGGATATAGAAGATTGACTGAATTGATTGTCCCACCTTCTAACAATACTTGTATAATGTTTTGTTCAGACCCAAGAATTTTTGGTTCTAGGACGTCAAATGTTGACTGAATTGAAGGACAACATTCACTGTGCTACAGACCAGGTGATGAAAAAGGCTGGGAAGTATGATCCCTCTGGATACTTCCTCATAGAAGTAAGAATTCATCTGTTCATTTTCTTATCTTTTGACGATTAACTAAGTTTAATTCTTCTTCTCTGGTTTAATCAGATGTTTTTTGCTTGTCTAGGATGTCTTTCACAATGATTTAAGGAATCCCTCGGCTAAAGATTACAGCTATCCTATTTTAGATTGGCTTTGGAACTCGAAAGATGAGGCTCTTAAAAAATGGGAATGCGTTTTAACCGGCGAATTACATAAAAAGCAGAAACTGGTTCTAGGTGAAGCGAAATCTGTGGATTTACCTCGTTACCGAACTGCAGACATGCAGAGTACACGCTTCTGTGATATAAGATTCAGAGTCGGAGCTAATTATCTCTATTGTCATCAGGTAAGATCTTCTCTCTCTTTTTTTTTTGTTTCTTTAATTTCTCATCTTATGAAAACATTTCGCACAGACTCAAGATATTCACTGATTCAAAACCGTGGAACAGGGAGATTGCAAGCACACGATTGTGATTCGGGACATGAGGCTGAGTCATCCAGAGGACGTTCAGAGTAGAGCGGCTTACCCGATCATGTTTCGGCCTAAACGTAGGCTTCAGAAATGCGGTGTTTGCAAGATAAAGAGAGCTTCAAAGGTTGCAGTGGATGACAAGTGGGCCAACGAGAACACTTGCTATTTCTGTGATGTTTGTTTTGAGCTTCTACACTCAGAGGAAGGCCCACTTAACCGTGACTTCCCAGTGTATGATTATGTGTATGACTGAAGATGATCTTCTTGTTGCATAATATATAGATAGAAAGAATACGAAGAAATTGTTGTCGTTGCAAGAAGAAGACATGATGAATCTCGTCTTCTAAAATTAGAAAAAGGAAAAAAAAATCTATTTTGAAAAAATAGATTACATAATTTCTTATTTCGTATGCCAAAGCCTCTAAGCATCACTTATCTAGTACTCATTGTATAAGTGAAGTAAACTTTTAATAAACCGAACAACAAGGTTTCATTCTCAAGAAAAGCACACACGAGGAGGAGAAAATGGCGAGTCAATTACGTTGGCGGAGTATTCCCGGTATGAGAGGGAATACTGGCTTATAGTAGCAGAATCCGAAGTAAGTCTTTCATCTTCTTCTAATAATTGTCTCCATGCATGATTTGTTCCTCCTTTTTCACATATAATTATTAAACCTTAACCCTAGTTCTTATGGGATGGCGGCTAACTGATTATTTTGTTGATGGGCCTTAATTAGGGTTTCGATTGCGAGTATGAAAGTCCGGTAGTATAATCACTGGACTGGTTCCCTACGACTGTGAACGTCGTCGCCGTATTCCTTATCCTCTCTTGGTCAAGTGTTATGCTTTGTTGGCCTTCATCGTTACAAAATGTTCACATTTAATTTTAAAACTAAATGTAATCTCCTCTCTCTTTTATCAACATGCATGCATGCTCTGTTATATAAATTTTCTCTCTTCATCTGTCAGGGGACAAGGATCGGGCTCGATGCCCTAGTGAAGTTCAACAAGTCAATGAACTTTACGTCCTCTTAATACATTACTTTGCTTGCAAACGATCCAGAAGCCTTCCCCATTGCAGAAAACCTTTCAGGTTCGAGTTGATGAAATTGTTTTTGGCAGTTTTGATTTGACCGTCTCTATTGTTAGACCAGATCAAAATGAAGGTGACTTGCTGTTCAATTTTCTTTTTATACAAGTCGATCGAGTATATATATATATATATATATAATCAAATCTCACACTTGCTGACGGCCGAACCAACCAAAAGATTCAAACCGAAATGTTTATGTTTAGCCTTTGTCAAAAACTCTCATCGTTATTATGCGGTTGAAAATTAGAAATGTTTATGTTTAGCTAAATTCAAAGTAGAGGAGATTCCTTGAATTTCTGTTTTCTCTGGCTGTCTTCTCAAATATTCAAAACTCAAATTGGTGTCTTCTCCAATTTAGAAAACGTGAGAAAATAAAACTAATTTTTAGAACCAAAAATAAAAAGAAAACGCATTTGGGATTTTTCTCATAGTCATCCCAAGTTCTTGGAACAGCCAGATTCTTTTTCATTAATTAGTTATAATCGTCTCATAAAGACAAAGAGGTTTCTATCGGATAGAAAATGGGAGCATATAGAGCAGAAGACGATTACGATTACCTCTTCAAGGTGGTCTTAACCGGAGATTCCGGCGTCGGAAAATCTAATTTGTTATCTCGTTTCACCAGAAATGATTTCAGCCACGACTCACGTGCGACCATCGGTGTCGAATTCGCCACCCGTAGCATCCAATGCGATGATAAGATTGTTAAGGCTCAAATCTGGGATACCGCCGGCCAAGAAAGGTATTTACTCTAAACTTACTCTTAAAAGTTATTTACATTTGCATGATGATCGAGTATATTTGAAATTAGGTACCGAGCCATCACGAGCGCTTATTACCGAGGAGCCGTTGGTGCATTGCTTGTTTATGACGTGACGCGTCACGTAACTTTCGAGAACGTCGAGAGATGGCTAAAGGAGCTAAGGGACCACACGGACGCAAACATTGTGATTATGCTCGTTGGTAACAAAGCTGATCTTCGTCACCTTCGAGCCATCTCAACTGAAGAAGCTAAGGCTTTTGCAGAGAGAGAGAATACCTTTTTCATGGAGACATCTGCACTTGAAGCAGTGAATGTTGATAATGCTTTCACCGAAGTTCTCACTCAGATTTACAGAGTTGTTAGCAAGAAGGCTCTTGAAGCTGGAGATGATCCAACCACCGCTTTGCCTAAAGGACAAATGATTAATGTTGGAAGCCGAGATGATATCTCAGCCGTTAAGAAACCCGGTTGCTGCTCTGCATAGACACACTTCTCACTTTTTTCTTGTATTTTTATAATTCAACATTAACATTTTTCACTATTTTCCTGCAAATTTGTATACATTCCTGGAATTATCAGACAAACAAGGTTCACACTCAAGATTTTTTTGTTTCGTTTCTACTCTCTACAATCGCTTGCTTCGTGCTCTCTCTGCTTCTAACGATCGATAGACTTCGTAATGTACATGAAGATGTTCCTCTGTTGACTCGCGTCTCATGCTGCTTTTCCCCCATCTGCAAATAGAGGTTAAAACAGCCTCATCAGTTTATAGCATATGAGCGTGAAAGCCTAAAAATTGTGCTTCGCAATGTTTCTTAAAAAGCTTAAGACAGCAAAGAAAAAGAAGAAGAATTGCAGATTTTGAGTGCAAGACAAACATAGGAATTATCCAAAATGACTTAGTACTTGAGAAATGGACCTTCCATTTTCTGATATTTCAGGCTAATGTATTGAAACCAAATGCAAAAACAGACGAACATGGAACTAATTAACAAGATCACTTAGTATGTATTCTACAGATATGGGTAGCAAATGAACATAACCATCTTCGTTTCTTCCAAAAATCTGCATAAAGTTGGATTAATATTTAGCTCAAAGAAAACTAGATTCTGAGCTTAATCATCTATATAAGCAAACAAAACAGAGTCCATACAGATTTCGATATCTTAGGATCAAGCAAAGCGTAGACTAGAACAAACACGAACTTAGTTCCAATTCCCTAATCCTAAACTCATAATCAAGAAGAAATACTAAACCATAACAATTGAGATACTCTATTTGAACAAATCGAATCTCACCCGAAAAAAACGCAGATATTGAATCATTTTTCTTCATCGCGAGGCTTAGAACTCGATTGAAGAGAAGGAAGAGGATTAGATCCCTTGATGATCCAACCGAGTCCGAAGAAGACTCCTCCGGCGAGAATCGCAGTTCCCCAAGCGTGTGAGTACCATTTACTGTACTGCCGAATGGCGAATTTCCATTGCTCCCTTAACGTCGCCTGATCCGGATTCACCGACTCGGGCGGGTTATAATACGGTATCCTTTTACCCGAACCCGATCCAATCTCCGGCGTCGGTTTCTTCGCCGACGAAGAAGTGGTGTTGTTATCAGGGATTTGGCTCTTCTCCGCCATTGTCGTCGTCTAGATTCTTTTCTTTCAGATGTGAAATATTTTTTTTTTAACCGTCGTTCTCTACTCTATAGCCACTGACACGTGTCCGATTACCACGTGGCACTTTCTTGTAACAAAACGATGCCGTTTTATTGTTTCGTCTACCTCAAACGAAACCGGAAACCCCTTAGGGTTTAAGGGACTCACTGTGCTTTTATCTGTTCGTCAATGGCTTCTGTTTCTACTGCTTCTTGTTCTTCTTCTTCTTCACTTCTATTCCCCTCTCGAAATTTCGCATCTATTCCGTTGATTCCACTCCGGAGAAGCTCTGTGTCTTTCATTCGCGGTTATTCTAAGAATTCGTCTACGGAGGAGGACATTCTCCGTTTCGTGGCGGAATCCGATGGGAAGGCACTTCCTTGTGTGCGGACGTACGAGAATAATTCAGCTCGGCTTAGTCTCGTTGGTACTGTTGCTTTTGATCAGGCTTTAACCGCTGCTGCTGCTGACGGTGGTGAAGCCGCCGATGATCATCTTCGTGAAAATGTCCCTGTCATGGTGGTTGAGACTGTTTTTCCCGGAGGATCTGATCCTAAAGCTACTGTGTCAACAAGATTGGTCAGTTTTTCACCTTAGCTTTGTTCTAATTCATTGATTCTACATTTCAGAAATTGAGTTTTGACATTTGAGTGTAACATCTTTTGAACAGTTCTTGCCTACTAAGAAAGTTAAAGAGCGAGCTAAAAAGCTGCGGCGGTCTCTCTCTGAGGATCTTTCTAGTGGAGATTTGTCAAAGAACATACTTGCGATGACTTTTAGGCAAGTTGTTTTACGGCAGCTGTGGAACTTTCAGCTGGTGTTATTTGCACCTGGAGCTGAAAGAGAAATGGGAGAATTCGAAAACCCTCGAGAGGTTAACTTCGCTTTGATGTGAATGTTTCTAGTGATACTGGCCTTGCAAGTGGAAATTGATACTGATAGGTTCAGTTTTCTTATTCATTTCCTATCAGCAGGTTTCTACATCCTTCACTCTTAGCTCATCCGATGAACGGGTTATATCTGTTATTGCAGAAGTTATATGCATCTCCGCTCTTCAAAGCACCGAGAAGCATTTCCTCGATGATTATCTGGGAAAACTTAAATTTCCCTTTTTAAAGTGGTTAAATAAACACAAGAGGATTGCTTCAAGAGACTGCTCTGTTGTCCTGCATAAGTTATTTGATGATGAGCCGAATACCAACCTCTTGCTTGAATACTACCAGTCAAGGAAGGAAAATTTCAAACTTGAAGACACAAGGCAAAGAAGCCGGTGGTGGAACTTATCTGCCAATTCTAAATTGGAAAAAATCGGTGGCCCCGGATTTAGTAGTTGGGCAAGTGAATATTTACCTGCATATCGACTAGAAATTGATACTATAATACTTGCAGACTTAAAGCTTGAGGGCTGGAGAAAGTCCAGTGAAAATAAGTGGGAAGTTCTTCTAACTCACTCCCAAATGGTATCGACGTTTGCTCTTTCTTTATGTAACCTACCCATCTAGGGTTTTGTTCTTGATGCTTTGTGTAGGACTAGGAATTGCAGTGTTGCTCTCCCTTTATATATTTGTCTGGCTAGCAGTCTAGGTTATCATTTCTATACGTCTTAGTTGTTCATGGTTATATGATAATACGGACCTATGTTATATTGTTCTGTTTAGTGTAGATAAAGACTTTGAATATCGTTCAAAGTTGATGGATAGACCATCTTAGACAATGTTGAATCCGTCATAAGAGTAGTCATTCCTATTTACCTATACACACAAGGAGATGCTGATAGATTGCGTGGGAATTAAATCTAGCAAGATGAAAGGTATTATCAATCATGGGATCTGGTGCAATAAAATTTCTTGTACTGCTGCATTTTATGTGCTCTGTGGTGACTAAGGTGCTTGTTTCTATGCATGTTATTTCATGAGGCCCCTACATTCCTGACACTTGTATGAAACCCTTCAGGTTGGATTAGCTGAAGCATTGGACATATACTTTGAAGATATATATTCACTCCCCAGGAAACAGCTACCATGTGATGTTCCTGGAAATTATGCAAACTTACCCAGTGAAAAGGTAATGACTACTGCTCTGCTAAATTTTAGCCAATCTTTCTGATATGATAATTTGGTATCTGTTATTGTGTATGTAGTCAGAACCAATTGACAGTCCTCGATAAATCGCTGTCTCTATATAATCCGTATTCTCTATGATAACCACTTGCTCTGTTTAATCATGTGCTTCATTACGGTTGCCTGATGAAATATGTTAAATATATTTTCAGTCTGCAGAATATATTCATGTTTACTATTAGAGTTTTTACCATTATGTTGGAGAGTTAATAAGATTGGCTTAATTTTGGTAGCTTTTTACCTGTGAAACTTCTGTTCACTTCTTTGGTTTTGCTTATTCTCTATTGACAGAGAGGATTGTCTTTGTTGAAATTCATATCTGTCACCATGGCCAGTGGAATTCTTCTTCTTGCTGTGAGTGCTGCGGCCCAATTCTGTCTTCCTCATAAAAGCGAGCGGAAGTATCCTGGAAAACGCCAAGATATTTTATGGTTAGAGAGTGAATTATTATCTCATCAATCTTCAGATTTCTCTGAGGTATGGATTACCAAAACACTTGTATTCATATAGATTTGTAGGCCATCGATTGCACGTAGATATTAATAGTGATTTCTGCATGATTATGGACTCTCTATACTGAGAATGAGATCAACCTTAACCATGAATATGGACTTTCTATACTGAGAATGAGATCAACCTTAACCATGAATATGGACTCTATACTGAGAATGAGATTAACCTTACCATGAATCATTATTATTATTTTGGTCTTTTTTGGGGTGCTTTTTTTCTGTTTTTTCGAAAACTAAATTCTGAAACTTCAAATGAGTAGTTGGATTCATTCTGCGGATTACTCGTCAACAAGCTCAAGGATGCCTACAGCTGGGTAGGGGAGATCACACTGGAAAGTAGCATAGGTGCCTGGATTGGGGAAGTACCTGATTACTTGAAAGAAACCAGCAGAGCTAAGTCTGTTGAAGATCACATCGTTACAAGCTCTTCTCTTCTGGAAAAACTCAATGAAGACGCAAAGGCAGCTGCGCAAGATATCGCTACGTACCAGGTAATTCCAGTGAAATTGTGATGAATTGGATTCTTTTAAGTGGACTACAACTTCATCTTTGTTGATTTCTTTAATGGAAGCAGGTCGTTCTATCAGCTGAAGGTAAAATCATAGGGTTCCAACCGACAAGCCGGGTGGCTGTGAATCACTGGGCTGCTAATCCTTTAGCTAAAGAACTTTATGGTGGAAAAAAACTCAAGCCTGGTAACACCATGATTCTTCTTTCAATTCCTTAAATTCAATGATACTCTTATCCTTTTAAGTATATTTGATTATGATGGTGTTGTGTCATTCTTTGTGTTGCAGGGCTGATTGAGCCTGGTCTTAAGAGTCACCCTCCGAAAAAAGTAGTTGTGTTGGAATTGTTAATGTCTGTGAATTCAGATCGTCCTTTTGCATTGGTCAGACCATTATTGCCACAATAACCATAGCCAAGTTCCCGTCTCTTAGATGAAATTTTTACAAAATATGTAGAATATGATTTGATTGATCGCTTGTAACATTTCGCATCTATGAAATACAAATACCTTAAGCTTACTATTCTCATGATCAGTGAGAACGTGGTAACATGATTCTTGAAACGATTGAAACATAAAGTAAGGAAGATCACGATCTATGATCTCATTGAACAACACTGATACTCAAACTGTATTCCGCATCGGTTACATAATTTGTCATCTGCATTATATCGCAGAAGAGAGTCGAAAATGCATCAAAATATATAAACCGGAATGTCAGTAAATATGTCTTCACCTCCAAAGACTGAATCTTAAAAAGCAGTCTCCTTTGTCACATTTACTTTTCCTAACTCCAGGACAGTCTTCAGCATCCCCTTCTTGTTATATATACACAATCTCCATAGATAGAGAGAACTATAATATAAGAAAAGAAATATACGAGTCATGAAAATCCATTACTTTGCCCTACGGTATGTAGAAGCTTCTTCTGCTGCTGTAGTTAAATGGTAAGCAACAGCTTTTCAAACCTGATTTTTTCATTTTCTTCTCAGGGGATATAATAGTCGCTTAGATTTCCGACGAGATAGTTAAACTCTTCACCTACTCCATAGTCATTTGCCTGCTCTACTGTGTTCTGAACATTCCCGGTGGCGACTTTTGAGCTCACTTTTGGTTTTCCTTTGATGCAGCGTTTGTTGTTGTTGTTGGTGTTATTGGTATTGTTCTCTGGAGGGAACTCAGCTGTGAGTCTTCCCATCTGCTTCTGTAGATCAGCCACAGAGTCGTTTGAAACCTTGCCTTTTGAATTCTTCTTCCCGTCAACAAGCTTGAGCTCGAGCCTGTACAAGGCACAAGCATCGCACTTGTTGATCTCATATTCGTAAAGATGCCATTCGAAATGGTGCAGAGGCTGTGGATCCATGTAGTAAGATCTCTTCAGCCCTCCAAACTCGATCATGATCTGTTTGCGTGACTCGTGCCAACCGCGACCATTGTAGTCTGGTAAAGATCTTTGCTTCCTGTTCCCGCTCTCAAAGGCCCTCCTTGGCTTGTCAAAGAATAGCCACTCCCTTAGTGTCTCACTCTCTAGAACCGTGAGATCAAAGAGCTCTACAGTCACACCAGAAATTCAAGATTTGAGTATGATCAGCACAAGAATGGTGATCAATTAAACATATATGTGAATTCCAAGAGAGCAAAGCCTACCTGGAGCATTCCATGGAGATTTAGCAGTTGCAGCTCCTTCACATTCGGGAATACCAACGTCTTTCCCTCCAGCCTTTGCGCTAAGAGCAGCAAAAAGCAGACCGTCTTTTAGGCCGATACCTCCAGGACGCACCACCGGATTCATACCTGGTGGCCCTTCATTGAAAGCCAGTGCAGCGTGGAAGCTGCTGCAGTAATCCTGGAACCAATCGAATCCTTGAGCTGGCCTAGGGCAATCCCAAAGAGCACATTTTGGACCCAAGAATGCAGAGGGTGGAGGACAAATAGTCGGGATAAAATTAGAGATATGTATAGGACCCTCCACTACACCATAACTGGGACAATTGTTGAAACCACCATTGAAGTTTGGTTCAAACTCTTGTTGCAGATCAAACTGCTGATGATATTCCAAAGGAGCCGTTCCATCGAAATTGTTACCAGCTGCTAAGGACAAATCTTTGCAATGATCAACCAATGGTAATCCATGTTCTGACTTCCCCTGAACCAAATTGTATCCCTGAAAAATTTCACCAAAACCTCAGTACTTCAACACAATAATGGACTCCACACACAACTAAAGCACCATAAGAAATTGGTTGTAAAGAGCAACTCACCCTTTGGAAGACAGCAGCTTTTCCAGCTTCAAGATTCTGATCAGCAGGCTCGGGCTTGGGTGCAGCTAATTTGCTGGTAGCATCATCTTCCTCATCACAGAGCTGCAGCAGCCGACAAATGTCTGATGAGAAAGACCCCAGAGTACCACCCTGCTTAAGCAAAACAAAAGGACACAACTAACAATGACTAAAACAACAAAGAAAATAAACCCAGTTAACACACACAGACCAAAAACCACTCATGCAAGTCACAACAAGATAGCAACTTTGAAACAAAGGCAACCATACTTGTTGCAAAGAAGAAGCAGGAGAGGGCTCGTTGAGCTCAGACTTCCACTCACGAAGCATCTGATTCACTTGCTCCTCAAGAAGAGTAACATCAGTAGTCCTACTCTCTTTCCTCGCAAACTGAAGATCCAAAAGCATGCCTTGCAAATCATCAACACGGTTCTTAGCCTTATCCTTGAACAGCTTGTGAGAAGCAGATCTGCAATTAGTCTTTGATCGCTTCCCCGTCATAAGAAATCAAAAAAACTTCCTTCACACAAGATTCTCTGTAAAACATTCAAAATACACACTTTCACATCAGTTCTGCTTCTATAACAAACATTGATCACTCTAACCAAACCAATTTGAATCACTGACACATGCTTAGATTACAGTAAAATAAATTCCAAAAATCGATGAACCAACAAAAGCCCTAGCTAAACGATGAAGAATCAAAAGGATCGTCAAGTTTTTCATAGCGAATCTTCGAGGTTAATAGAACTAAACACCCAGCAAAAACACAGGTTACGAACACGAAATTGAATCATGCACAGAGTTAAAGAAACAACAGATCACAAGAACTAATCGATTCTGAAGCAAGAAAAAAACGACAAGAAATTTTGGAGGAACCCAGAAAATCAAACTTACTCTCTGTAGCAAACAACAAAGGCAAAGAGAAATTTGTTGAATGGGAAAAAAGAAGAAGAATAGTAATGAAGAAAGGAAGAGAGAGTAAAAATTATAAATAAAAAATGAAAGAGAGTGTCACACAAAATGAATTAAAAAAAATTCACAAAAAGAATTAGAGAAACGTTGCTGGATTCTCTTCTTCTCTCACCCTCCACTTTTCTTTTTCCTTTTTTTTTTATGAGCTAAATTCAATGAATTAATCTATGAGCTAAAAATTATCAATTTTTGGGGAAAGTTTCTGATAATTAATCATTATTTTGGAAAATTTGCCCTGTGTACTGTATATATACGAAAACATTATATACTGTATTTATTATGGATTCTTTTCTTTTTATTGTTCATGTTTTCTTTTTATGGCATTTATATTAAGAAAATACTAAATGAGCATTTAAGATTTATTATTTGTTGTATAAATAATTATTTATGGTTTTTTATTGTTTTCTAAACAAACTAGAGTTTAATTATTCTTTCCGTTTCACAAAGACTGTCGTAATACATTTGGGAAGCCGCCAAGAATTTTTCTAAAACCAGAGTTTGGATCACGATCCATAAGAAATAGTAATCCTGCGATGATTGAATCCAAGATTTAATCTGAAGCTAAACAAAATTTATGCATGCGGGAAAAATAAGACAAACACCTAATAAGAAAATGTAAGATATATCATTTGAAAAATAACTAGAAAATGTTAAGACCAATGTGTAGGGAGGGGAGTGGTTTGCAATTTTGCATAGTTTGTAGTCGTATGAATAAAATAAATAAATACGATTCATCATTCATGATAACCTTTCTTTCGAGAAAGAATAGTTTGTTGATAAATTGACATAGACTTTATGATAGTATCGTAGTATAACCACGATAAAGACTTTTGAATATTGAAAGTGTAACGTATTTTCATGAAAACGTCAACTAGATAGATAGATAACCGTAATTTTGGTTGCGTTTGACATTGGTCATTTCTAAACAAATTGTTTTTCTTATTTCCTTTCAATGAGTTTTAACAAAAGAACTTTTAATGAGAATTTTTTTTGTACCTAATGTAAATTTGCAGGACTTGCATTACTTTTGGAGGAAAAGCAAAGAAGCAAACAAAGGAATCTTGGGTAGAGAATTTGGACAAGTGTTGTGAATACTAGTTAAAATTATTTTCTTTTACGAGAAAAGAAGGAGATATTGGCAAGGAAGGAATATAACTAGCTTTTCTCCACTATGTTTTTCCATATTCCTATTTTGTGATGCTCATCAATTTTCATCTACTTTCAATTTCATCAATGGTCATATTCTATCGTTCTTTATGTATTATTCTCATTTTGAAATACATATCGGTCGTCGTATGAACTCTAAAACAAACTCAAATTCATCTTCTTAATTAGGTTATAAAAAATAATATCTCACTAATTTAAACATACAAATTATTGACTGAATACGATTATATTTTAATCACAGTTAAATAGCCATATTGACAACATTTTCTTTGAGTGTGTATAAGTGAAAAATAGTATGCTCCTTACATCAATCATATCCCTGGTTGGAATAGATCGGTCCACCACTTCACTTTATCTTAAATCCGGGACCAAATTAGTAACAGTGGACAAGTATAGGTTTTATTTTTTTGATCATAGAGTTGAGATGGTTTGCTGAATCTAAATTTCTTCTCTTTTCATACAAAAGGTCTCCAAGGTGAATAAAGTTACAGATTTTTTTTTTCCTTTTTCTTAAAGGTCTCTAAGGTGAATGTCTCTAGTCGATGGAATAAATTTTGATCTTTTGTGTTCACCATAATAAACTTCTATATCATGTGTGACAAAACATCCATCGCGAATACAAAAGAAGCTAGGGACAAGAGTGGTTCCACTAGATGATGCTCAACGTCGAACCAATACTTTAATGGTAGAAGAAAGCATGTGTCCTCCCATGTTGGAAACGAACAAAATGATATTTATCAACTTGTTACACTCTCGCGGATAAATTATCTACAAAAAAATGAGTTCAACATTGATGTGTTTCGAAGAACATCACCTTAACGATTCAACCGTCTGGTAAATAGGAAAGTTCGTCCCCAATAGATTTATTAATTAAACTTACTACTAATGTGTTATTCTTAAATCTGCTTAAAACTCTCAAATGGGATAAATTTAGACTATTTAGATGATCATTACATGACTTTAGATCTCTATATTTTCACTCTTGTGCGTTGGATTGAATTTAGAATTCCAAAACTAATTTATTTGTAATTTTTTAACTATTAAAGTTTTTTTCCAATAAATGGATCAATCTTTAATATTAAATAGTAAGATATATCATTTTATGGTATATATTCGAGTTAATATAAATGAATTGAACTAATATAATTCATAAATTACTTTAGCTTAACGACTAGTTAGCCCATTTTGATTACCCCCATCTTTTTCCCAAGATTATATTATACAACATACTATGTACTTAACTTTATAATTAGCTCATCATAAGCAGCATGCGTTTCTATAAATCGATGTCTTGTTTTTCTTTTTGATTGTCGTTATAAAAAAATATGAGAAACTTCTTAAGGAATTTCTTAGCATTTGCCCAAATGATTGTTCCCCCTATTATCCCCTTTCTCTACCACCAAAAGCTATTCTCACTTTTTCATATACTAAATTTTTCTTTCATTCTAGCATTAAAGTAAAGAATAAAAAAGAACACCGATCGAGACTTTTTGTGGAATAAACAGAACGACATACCCATAGGTTCCTTTCGTCTCTCATTTAAAATGAAATCGTTTAGGGATAAAGACATTATTCTTTTGTAAGAATTGATCGCCTTTTACCACAAAACCAAACTAGTTGTCGCTATAGTTTTGACCTTATTAGATCATGGATAAATATGATGTAGATTTTGTAATGTGAAGAAAGAAATATTTTGGTATATCTCTCAAGGTCGCTTTCACAATGAATTCGTCATTATCCAACATTACCTAAAATCGAGCCATTGGTCTCAAAAGACCAAATCTAAGCAACTAATGTTGAAAAGACAAAACCTCAACATCAAAACTGTTTTGATTTGTCACCTAATTTGATTATTAAAAAGCAGATAGTTCTTGATGATGATACATGAATGTGGAGGAGAGAATCAGAAACTCCTCAGCTCTTGTGAAAAAGAATCATTACCGAATTGTTAACTTTGGTTTGAGTCTTGTAGATTGAATAAGATGGTGATGATGATTCAACTGGATTTGTCTGGTTTCCCACTAGCCGTAGTACCGGGCTGTGGTTTTAACTGGAAAATACCGCTCAACCCGCGTGCCTTAGCAAGTTGTTCAAGCTCCTCTAGCTTGCTCTTGAGATCCGCCACTTGCTTTTCTAGTTCTTCATCTTTTATTCTCAAATCCTGTAAAACCAAGAGATTCACAAATCTCAACCAAATCAATAATCAAACCTCAACATTGATATTTCTGAGTAGTCTATCTTATTAGAACAAGCACACAAGTTTGTTCGGTCTCTTAACTAGTGTAATGCTATTTTGTTTAGTTGTTACTGCAGATTTCAAGCTAATGTGAACATACATTGAATACGAATGTTGATAATTGTTTTCATCTATGGCACAACATGTAACCATGTTTATAAATGTTTACAAAGCTCCTTCAAATAAGACGGATATTTTAAAGCTTCAAGGAATGAGAACCAATTCTACAGGCTGCAACTTTTAGGAAGTCTGGAGTTGGGAATCTGAAAACATTACCACCATTTCCTTAAAACCATTTATCTATGCGAGTTTATATTATAAGTTCTCCCTGAGCATGTTGATATTCATATTTGATGAATTAATATGCAACCCACTCTCTACTAACTAACAGTGTCAGTATGTAACAATGCTAAATCCTGAACAGCACATGGGAGTCTACACTTAATGAGGCAAAAATTATTTTCCAAAAGTATTCAGTGTACCTCTAGTTCTTGCTTACGTGCTTCCTCTTTTCTTGCCTCAGACCGTGAACTCCTCTGCACCTCAAAAACAACAACGGCTCCACCGACCTGCACATATAATCTATTAGTCTACAGAACAATTGAGAATTGCATAGAAGAATGACACTCAGACCAGCTTTTTTATATAATTTATCTGACTTTGACACCATGCAAGATATCCACTAAATTGATACGGGACATATGGAAGAAACTAACAATTGTTAACTTATTAGCATAGGTTGTGCTACCAGACAAACAAGAGCAAGAAATAATCAATCATATGGTAGATTTCCCTTAAAACTTTAATATTTTGTATCTAAAAACTCTCCAACGCTTATGTGGATAGTAACTCATCAAAATACACCTACAGATAGCTGAAACAAGACTAGAGTCTGATTAGATGGCATCACAAGCTATGATTGAGTAGAACCAAATCATTCCATCAAAAGAGCTCTATCACATAAGCTGTTAAGTTTCCCTCCATCCCCTAAACATGTTAACCATGATCCAGTTGCTCAAGGTCACAATAACCCATTTCACATAAACCATAACCAATTGGTGAGAATGCACAAGAGAATTCACTGCATAAAGAAAGTTGAGTAAAGAGTGTTACCCCAAAGAGAAAGATCTCTCCAATGAGGTCAACAGCAGCTTGAACAGCCTTTTCCTCATCTAAGGGACGAATCTCTACATCAGTGGCATGACCATATATCCGTCTTTGCATTTGCGTCGTGATTCGATGATTTCTCTATTCACATAATCCAACAACACAATCAAATTCCAACAACTATTAACCTAAACCACGCCTTTCTCTGCAACAAATCCTACTAGATTCTGGAAGTTCAAAAATCGAGATCAAGAGAAGCAACGAATCTCAAAAGCGAGTTTAGAATCAGAGACCTGAGCGAAGTTGATGATAGATTGACGAAACTTTGGATGAACCTTAGCTTGGTGCTTGAGCTGACTAGCCAATGGTTTACTTATGGTTTTGACGGCGAGTGTGCCCAGTTTCATCAACGGCAACACCATTTTTTTTTATTCCAAAAAAGCTTTGAAGAATCTGAGTGCGAGAGATTTGGAGCTAAATTAGGTGAGCACAGAAATCGACATTGGGATCAATCCAGGTTTATCTTGGATCCGATTTGAAGAAGAAGAAAGAAGAAGCTGAGTCGTTTTGTTTGGGTCGTCTTTTTACAACTTTATTTTATTTGTGCGAATCGACCCTTCTCTTTGTTTTTTCTTCTTTTCGCAAGTTGAAAATAGGGATTATTCGGAAATAAATTATGAGATCTTATTATCTTATTATATAAAGTATGGTTTTCAAAGTTAATAATTCATATGATCGTGACACGTGGCAAATCTATCGATCTTAGATTTTGAGACGTGTAAAACAAAAGTTTCCTTTTTAAAATAAAAAATAAGATAATTTAAAATAATTACAAATTTAAATAATTTTAAAAATGTAAAAGATAATTATAAGAATAATTGTAAATAATTCATATTTCTACAAAAAAAAAATTTTAAAATGTCAAAAGATAATAATAAGGAAATTATACGTTTGTTTATATTTCAATTAAACAAAAAAAATATCAGGCAAATTTATTAAAAAAGAAACATATGTTATTATATATTAATTTAAAATTTGATATTATTTATCTCAATTTCTTTTCCAACTAGAAATATGTGATGATTTAATTAAACTAATCCTCATATTATTTATTGGAGTTTATTTTTTCAATTAGAAATATGTGAGATCAATTTTTTTTTCCCTTTTGTAATATTTTTTTACTTAACTATTTTTTTTTTGTTTGTTCTCAATTATGATAATAGTATAGTTAGATTGTTAATTTCAATTTTTCTTTTCATATTTAAATTATCAAAGATTCATATATCATCATGTTTATAAGTTTTTATTTTTAGTTTAACTGTTGTATCTTTAAATTATTTATTTTGGTTTCTACTTCCAGTTTAAATTATACAAGATTTATAATATATCATATTTCTAATGATTTTAGATAGCGACATGTGTCATGATTTAAATTACAAATTTACATTATTTATATCAATATTATTTTCTAATTAGAAATATGTGATGATTTTAAGTAAATTTTTATATTGTTTTATTTGAAATTCCTGAATATGTAAGAAACATATATGCTTCTTTTTTGTTTTTGATATTTTGAATTTAATTATACTATTTCAAAATTGTTTATTTCAATTTCTATGTTCATATTTGAATTATATAAGATTCATATATCATCGTACTTATAATTTTTTGAATTTATTAATTTTTATTGATTGATCATAAAATTATTGCAATCGAGTATATAGGAATCAAACCCGCAACGTTAGCTTGGAAGGCTAAACAATTTAGTCGATTTATCCTCTTTATATTTTTAACGTGTCTAATTAAACATCACTTTGAATCTTTGATTTTATTCACCAACTTTATGATAAATATTTTTAATTTTTGTTCTTCATATAAGTATACCATGAATTATTGTTATGTGATATATCTTTCATTCGAAATAATTTTGAATTAATAATTTTAGTAGTTAAAGAAACAAGGCAACAATGAAAAAGTAAATATTTTTTTTACTTTTGAAATAAAATTTCTACTTACAACGTTGTTAATTAATTTTTTGTCAGGTTTGATTTTAATTTTTTTAAAAATAAACCCGTCCATCGGACGGGTCCTTATCTAGTATTATATAAAGTATAGTTTTTAAAGTTAGTAACTTAAGGATCGTACCATGTATCAAATTTATTGATCTCAGAATTTAACACGTATTAAACAAAAAAAAAACATTTTATTTATCTAAAAATATTTGTTTAAAAAATATTATAAGAAAATTATCAACGTGTCATATCAAAATTTATCAACGTGTAAAACCAGAAAAAAATTTGTTTAGAAAAAAATTTATAAGAGAAAATCTAAATTAAAAAATCCAAGAAAAAAAATATTTGTAAGATATATATGTATAGTTGCCTTATATATCTTATATTAAAAAAAATCTAAAAAAATAAATATAAGGAAACTAGATGTATCTTATGAAATGAAAATAAAAATCCAAGAAAAAAAAATATAAGGCAACTATACATATATATCATACAAAAAACAATTTTTTAAAAGTAAAGAAGATAATTATAAAGAAACTATATGTATCTTATTAAATAAAAATAGAAATTAAAAAAAAAATATTTACTAATTCTAATTTAAAGATACTAATTCTAAAAGAAAAATATTACCTTTTCCTTAAAATTAAAATAGATTTATGAAATTATACAATCTTATAGTATAGTACGATAAATAAAGAAATTACATAATCAATTATTAATCCTAGAATAAAAAAATAAATAAATACTCACCGCTATAAATAAACAAATAGATAGATTGAAAAATTAAGAATATCTGGAGATAGAGGCAAATTAAGAATTATGAACGGCGATTGACAAAAAATAGAGTTTTTGTCGAAGAAGCTCGACCCGATGTCAGAGAAGATAAAGAAGGTGGAGAAATTAGAGTAGTTGGGGAAAGAGGGGAAGATGCGGTAACGGTGGTGTTGGTGTTGATGACGGTGGTTCAAGTTTGGTGGTGGAAGCGATAAATATAGATGAAAGTGGTCTGTCGGAATTAGCGAGATCTAGTATTGATGGTGATGATGATTGTGATAGTTGTGAGATTCAGTTGTGGTGGTGGTCTGGTAGGTCGGAGTAGTGAAACTCAGTGGTGATGCCCAACGAAGGAGAGAAATAGTGATATGGAAAAAGAAAAAAATTATGGTGAAGAAATCCAACAAGAGAGAGAGAAAAAAAAAAAGAGGGGATCGAGCAAAATTAAGAAAAATCTAATGAGAGCAAAAGAGAGATTTGAGACTTCTCGCCGGCGAGAAAAAAAAATAGACAAAGAAGAATTCATGAGTAATATGGGTCAAAAATTGACAAAAACCATATAGCAAATAGACATTGTTTAGTTAATATTATTTCTTAATTTTTTTTAAGTCTTAGGTTATATAGTGCATATTCTCTAGTTCCTTATGAATTTGTCTATTTGTTTTTAGAATTTCTCATATTATCAAGTAAAGTTACATGATGTGGATATAGACTGTCTCATATTCTCACAATTTTGTTTCCATCTTGCCCACATTGAAATTAGAAAGTGTTATAACCTCTATAAATTAATAATGTTGGGACCATGATAATTTATTAATTCATAGTGATATCAGTTTATCTATAAATTCTTAATTATTAATTTAGACTGTAAATTAATATTTATTAATTTATAGAGAGTTTTGTTTGCTTTTTAAAACTTTTTTTAAAAAACATAGAGAGAAAATAATTTGATCTAAATAAAAGTAATGCTTTGGATGCTATAACTGTGGTAGTTTTAGACTTGAAAATTTAATATTTAGAAGAAAAACAATTTTTGAACATTCTTCCGATGAATATAGATAATTTATTAAAATTCAATAATACACATATGATTAAATATCATACTGTAACATATAATAAACAAAACTACAAATAGTATTTTATATTGCACATTATGCATAATTAATCTATATTTCAAAAATTATTAGAAATAAGAAATTATATGTATCAATTAGAAATCAGATATATCACTTACTCTGTTGGGCGTATGCCGCCTCTGACCAATTTAGTGTCGCGAGGCAACTGCACAAGTGGGACTAGGTGTATTCTCCGCTCTGCACTTGGTACCTCTCCTCATATTGTGATCTAGAAAGTCCTAAAAACATGAAGAAGAGTGGAGGGGGCCTTACTCCACATCCAGAGACATGGAATCAGCAAATTTAACTGCACTGATCACGAGCCTGTCATTGTTGATGAAATTTTGATGGATAAAGAAGTGATAAAAGATGTTCGAATCATCAATACGTTGGAGGAGGCTTTCCAACGGCTACCCAAGCAGCCAATAGGAGCTGACTTAATTCACTACTCAGGGATGGGTACACCAGGAAAAATCATTTCTTACGGTCCCAAAACACATGGCTCTCTTTTCCAAGGATATCATTCAGTGATAATAACATTTCTTGAGAGAATTGGTAAAGAACTGGTGACCGTATGCAAAAACAGTCAAAGTTTTTTTACAAATGCAAATACAAAGCCTCTTTCTTACTTGTAACATGGTCTTGGCATGGCTCATGGCTGGCAACTAGTTTGTTTTCCATAGCTATTTGTGTTTCAGATCTCTTGATACCAAATTAACTAATGTACTGGCTTGGTTCAAGGAATGAGGGTTAGAGTAGTCAAGCTGATGGCTTTCTTACTCGTATTTTTGTTTTCAGGAAGCTTATCTTGCCAAAGTCGAGGAGTTTGCTAAGCTCAAACAAAAGCAGGTGAAGTCATCAGACATCCAGAGACAGTTAAATACGTGCGTTATTTCCTCAAGTCATTTTATGTGTAGACATGTAGGCCCGGCCCTGCACCAATTTTGAAGAAACATTTGTATTGGGCCTCAAAATTTTGAGGCCCATTTTGTTGAGAAATTTTTTTTTTTTCTAGGCTTCAAAATACAAAAAAAATATCCCAAAAATAGCAAAAAAAAAATTCAAAATTAACAAAAAATATTCTACAATTAGTAAAAAAGTCTCGTAATTAAAAAATAAAGTACCAATTTTTTTTTTCAAAACAATAAATGAATATTATGAATATCTCACAATTTATTAAAACAAAAATTAACAATATTTATTTTTTAAAGAGGCCCTAAATGTTTTTCGTATTTGGCCTCGAATTTTACCGGACCGGACCGGTACTGTGTATAACAGTTGCAAGGTGTTAAGTTTCTGCATTGTTCTGTAAACATTTGATGCATTTTGGAAAAATCAAAGTCTAGTTCATTCGATATATAGAAGATTAGACGTATAGGCAAAACATTTACCGAATTCTGCTACCTACTAACAATATTTGTTCTAACAAGTCAAATGTTTACTGAATTTGAAAGACAAGGTGATGAAAAACATCTTCAAATGGATCTTGTCATTACGCAGACACAGCCATGGCTAAACACCTAGAAAATGCGAGGTCCTTTTGAGCGAGGTCGTTTTTGAGAACTCTCGGCTTTTTCTCCACTCTGGAGACTCCAAAACTTACCCTGAAGAGTCAAGTATCCTGAATCATCGATAACTCTTCTAATGATAGCTTTGCGTGCAACATGCTCACCAATCTCAACAAGACGTGGGGACTTGGCCAAGCCCGTAAAAGTTATATAGACATGTGCCCTTCTGGAATTGAGTCTCTCATCCGGGGGCTTCTCATCTTCTTCCTGAGTTTGAATCACCACTTTCAGAATCTGAACCTGGGGCAGACCAGTCTGCACTATCTGCAGCAACAACAGTTTTGGTGTTAATAATTATTACCAAAAGTCATGGTATGTCATTGATATGCAAAAGAAAAAAAACTTACACCAAACATCCCTTTATCATTTGCTAAAATCAAAAGTTCCAAATATAGAGAAATCCAACCAGTGGCTTGCCACTCTGATTTCTCTAGCTGCAAAAGCAAGAAAAACTTATCACTACTTAAATGATCATGAGCAAAAAAAAACTGATGATGTGTCTTAGTAATAATAATCTTACCGCGTAAAACCGGCTTCTATCATCATGAAAAGCACCATCTGAGGGCCAATCAGGCAATGGACCTTGGAAGACACCATCCGCCACTGCGCCACCATGAAAGTGAGGTATGAAGGGCTCCTTGGTGGACACTGCTGCTATGCAACATTATTAATCAGCAAGTGAGATTTGATTATACTCTTTGACTTGTATTAAAAAAAAATTGAACAATGAAGCACAAGTCACCTTCATTTTGATCTTTTTTAGGTCTAGCAATAGCGACTGTCAAATCCAAACTGTGATATGCTCGTTCATCAACTCGAACCTGAAAGGTTTTCTGCAATGGTGGATCTTGTGCAAGCAGAGTAATGTAGTACGAAGACGTAAGGTTCATTGTCTTGTTGAATTTTTGTAAGGTAGCGAGCTCGAAACTTGTCCCCTGACAGATGAAAAGAAAATTGGACGTGGTACAGGACATGTTGATGAAGCACCAAAAGAGAGAGATGAGACTATATATAGTTTTAAAATATTACCTGCAAAATATTGTAAAGATGAAGCCCCAACAAAGCATATCGATTGACCAAGAGAGGCTCAGGATAACGATGACCAGATTGACAGTCGTAGGAAAGCAGTCCAGTAAGTACTACTGGACTATCAATTTCCTCGATATCAAAACCCTAATTAAGACCCATCAGTTAGCAATCCCATAAACAACAACAACCCTAAAAGCGATAGAAACCCTAATTCAACAAAATAATCAGTTAGCAATCCCTAAAAGCGATAGAAACCCTAATTAACCAAAATAATCAATTAGTAAACAACACTAGAATCTATATTTAGTGTTCTACAAGCTATTAAGAACTAGGATCAGGGTTAGGGTAAAATAATTATGTCAGTTCAACATATATCACAATCATGGAAATTCTCTAAAGAAGAAGAAGAAGTTGAGAGAATTACATCCGATTCCGCCACTGCACGCCAGTATTCTCTCACATGACGGGAATATTCCTCCGCCGTAAAATACTCACAATCCTCCGTCGTCATATTCTCCTCCGCCTCCGCCTCCTTGTGTGGGTGCTCTTTCTTGTTTTTAATCCATCCAGGCGATATATAATGGCCCTTATATTCCAGCCGGTGGATTCTTTTATGGGCTTCCACTGCAGAAACTTGTTCTATAGGGAAGTTTTTGACAGCTTACTTTTGATCAGACTGATTTGTAATGTTTGAGGAACTTAGCCGTGGGATTTAATTTGGAAGTACGTTCATGTGTGTCATGGGTTTGTTGTTTAATTTCAGCTTCTCTTGAGATCTCACAGCCAAAAGTTCAAAATTAGATATGCGATTGGATAAGAGAAGAAAAAACAGACAACCTTATGTAAATATTCCTTTTGTTTCACCAAAAACATATGATAATGTAAGACATTAAACTCCCATCTATAAGATCCAGTGGCTCCGTCTTTAGGTCAAGAAGACAAGAACGAATAGGATGATGAACAAGACGAGCAAGAAACATATCATCATCATTTGACCTTTTGCTCCAGCTTTCTTCATTACCATTCCCACTTTTTTCTGTCACAATGCCATTTTCATTCTTTCAGGTTTTACTTTCTTTACACTTCAATCAATACAGCAACAAGGCCTTTAGGGGTTTACCTGAACAAACTCCAGCCGGTTCTTTGTACTGTCCATCTCCGTATCCAATTCATCTATTATTCTCTCCTGAACACGCACAATAACAAAAACTTGATGTTTCTGATCTCTACTGATATGTACTACTGTTAAATCATCTTCCCATATTACTAACCTGTGCAACGAGTTCGTCGTGTATAGTGAGCCCCACTCCTCCAATTCTCTGTACACTTTTACTGAGCTCATCCAATTCTTCGTCTTGTTGCCTGAAGTGACAAAATGATGTTAAGTTATGGCACTACTCTGTTTTTGACAAAACTATGCTACAATCTTCAGTCTATAATCGTTATAAACTCAGAAGCAAAGAAAAGACTCCAAAACAATGTAGAACACAGAGAAAGAGCTATACTTTATCAACAGCATTTGCCTATCTGATTCTGACTGTACAAAACCGTCATCGTCTCTCCCTCCATACTGATCGTATCTACTTGCTTCACCCGAGTTTGGCATTCTCATCAGTTCTCTGCGCACTTCACTTGCATGACCAGCTCCAGAACTAACCTTTCCAGCTAAAACACCAGACTTCACATTCCGCACCTATAAAAAATATCGTAATTGTCTTGCAAAAGTCGACTAACAACAAATATATGCCACTCTGTAAAGCAGTATTCATAACAAACTTAGAGACATACCTGTGTCCTAGCATTACTAGTCCATCTCCTCCGTTTTTCAAGCTCAGCTTCATCAATACCATACCATGAAGGATCTTTAGCTGCAACAGTAATCGCCTTTTCCAGCTCATCTACCTTCCTATCAGTAAAGACAGCTTCAATAGCCATGAAAGGACTCTAATTCGAACGTTGCACTTACTTAATCTATTGGATTTCTAATCATGTAAATAAGGGCCAATACATCAGCTATGTTCAGTATCCATCATCCTATTCAACAATTAATACAAAGAAAAAACACAATCCATTGACAAACACAAATCATATTCCACGCCAGCTAAATTATATAAAAAGCCGAGGTGAATAAGACCGTGAGTAAATACGAGTACCTGCCACTCAATGCTTCCACAAGTAGCAACAAGCTCCTTCGCCACATGCGCTTGATCCCCCATGTCGGGAGAGATACGCTCCCATTTGTGGAATGTTGATTGCAACTTATCAATCTAACAAAGCATCCATAACCAAAAACCCACAACATCAATCACTGTCCTTAAATCTAAACAAAAACATCTCTCGCCATTACAATAAAACTTACAGAATCCTGGATCTCTTCTTTAACAATGTAGAATGGATCTTGAGCAGAAGACATCCCGGAAAATCGACAAAATTGTGCTACCCTATACACCAAATAATACAGCTGATTAAGATATACAAACAAGTTCCTATGCAGAATTAGTTACAGAAACAGAATTTTGAAATTCAACTCATTGGCAGGGATTGTTCTGGAGATGCGCAAATTCTACGATTGCATAATTAGAGTTCTAAGTTACAATGATCAACTCGATAACACTATTAGATCCAGAAAAATTCCGATTAAATCCTGGCTAATCTAGGGTTAGAACTTTCTTCAATAGAACGGGAACGGCTTTATCAGTCTCTGTACTTTAAGATCGACACAAACCTTGGAAAAAAAGCTTGCGTTTAGAGACGATAACGACAGGGATCAATGAGAAAGCAGAATTGATGTAGAGGAAAATTGAAGAAGCTTCTTACCTTGTGAAGGAATTAATCGAAACGTGACGCGACGGAGATCGAGGAAGAAGAAGAACAACAACAAACGACGGTGCACTAAAAAGGATTCCGGCGTGAGATTCGTCTCTCTTACATAGCAAAACGCATCACCCGCGGTTGGCTTTGAGAGTCGCTGAAAGTTTAATTTTGGGCTAAATTGGAAAATATTACAAAGCCCAATAACAAACCACATAGCCCAATAAATTATGACAAATCTACGACACTAATAAAAACTATACTACGTTACAAAATTCTGTTTTGTAAAATGGGGAAACGATCAAATGATTATAGAAAACTTTTTTTTTTCATTTCGAAAGACGAAACCACTTTTGCTGAGTTTTTCGTGACATGACTCATGCCATAACGAAATTTGAATTACGTCCGTCTATTGAGAAGATTCATAGTCCGTAAAAAATTCGATACCACATATTCTCATTGTTACTAATCCTAGTAACGGGATTGTTTCACCAAAAACAAATAATTATTTTCTCATTCAAAACTGTATGGTAAAATTTTAGGTTTACACAATTAAGGTTTTAACTTTTATAGATTTTCAGTTACACGAAAGAATGGTATATATTGTGACTTGTTTTGTTATGCAAAATTATCACGATAGGCAACTGCAAATGTAAAATATCCAATAAAGCAAGCCTTGTGAATTTAGAAAACAAAATTTTTATTCATAAATTGCTTGAATGAATTTTTTAAACGACTACTAAATTTTTAGCATGCCGGTTACTACCTCCTGAATTCGATCCTAGCTTTCGCGTTTGGTCTCGATGTAACAGTATGGTTAAGTCGTGGATATTGAACTCTGTCACCAAACAAATTTACAAAAGTATATTGCGATTCAATGATGCTGCAGAAATTTGGAAAGATTTGATTACAAGATTTCATATTACGAATCTTCCTAGATCTTATCATTTGACTCAGCAGATATGGGGATTACAACAAGGATCTATGAGTCTCTCTGAGTACTATACATCATTGAAAACATTATGGGATGATTTGGATGGTGCTAGTTGTGCGGATACTTGCCAGAATTGCAAATGTTGTGTAGCTACTGCTTCTAAGGCTGATCATGCCAAAATTGTGAAGTTTCTTGCAGGATTGAATGAATCTTATGCAACTATACGCAGTCAGATCATCATGAAGAAAACAATACCTGATTTAGCAGAAATTTACAACCTCTTGGACCAAGATCATAGTCAAAGGAGTATGGTTACTGTTACTAATGCATCTGCATTTCAAGTTGCAGCTTCTACTAGTGCGCAGTTTGCTGTGAATGCTACTCGTTCTTATCCTCCTAAAGCACCTAAAGTACAGTGTACTCATTGTGGTTACACTGGACATACGAAAGACACTTGTTACAAGATTCACGGTTATCCATTGGATTTTAAACACAAGCAGAAGAATGTTACACCACCAGAGAAATCAAAGCCCGTTGTTGCTAATCTCGCTTTGACTGATGGAAAAACAATGAATACTAAAGGGATTGGACCAGATGGTATTGCTGAATTGGTAGAAAACATGTCAAAGACCCAAATACAAGATGTGATTGCCTATTTCAGTAAACAACTCCATAACCCTGCACAACCAATTACTATTGCCTCTGTTGCAAGCACTAGTAATAATGATGGTTCTGCTTTTAATGGTATTTCTTTCTCTCCCTCTACTCTGTGGTTGCTATGTGTTTTGACAACCTCTAGGAAAATGTTGACTGTTAACACTTGGATCATAGATAGTGGTGCAACTCATCATGTTTCTTTTGATAGAAATTTGTTTGAAAGCCTATCTGATGATTTGCGTAGTGAAGTCACATTGCCTACTGGTTCTAATGTCAAGATAGCAGGAGTAGGGATTATTAAGTTGAATGAGTATATCACACTATACAATGTGTTATATATTCCTCAATTTCGACTTAATCTCCTCAGTGTAAGTCAATTGACTAAAGATTTGAAATCAAAAGTATATTTTGATGAGGGTTGCTGTGTAATTCAGGATCCTATCAAGGAGCAGAAGATTGGTGAAGGGAAACAAATTGGAGGCTTATATGTCTTGAGTACTAGTCCTGCTGAATGTTCTAGTTTAGATAATAGCTCCTCTGTTTCAGTAAATGCGAATTGCAATGCTATTGTTGATAATGCTCTTTGGCATAGCCGATTAGGACATCCTTCTTTTGAAAAGATTGATGTACTACACAATGTACTTGGTTTGAGAAAAGGAAATAAAAATGAGATTGTTCATTGTGCAGTTTGTCAACAAGCGAAGCAAAAGCGTCTTACTTTTCCTTCTAAGAATAACATGTCTGAGCATGCTTTTGATTTGGTTCATATAGACACTTGGGGACCGTTTGCAACACCAACTGTTGAAGGATTCAGGTACTTCTTGACTATTGTAGACGATTATAGTCGGGCAACATGGGTATACTTGATGAAGGCTAAGAATGAAGTATTAACTCTGTTCCCTGGATTTCTTACGATGGTAGCGACTCAGTATCAGATTAATGTGAAAGCAGTAAGGTCAGACAATGCCCCTGAGTTGAAATTTGACTCATTATACAGAGATAAAGGGATTATTTCATATCATTCATGCCCTGAGATACCTCAACAGAATTCAGTTGTGGAGAGAAAACACCAACACATACTGAATGTTGCAAGAGCTTTGATGTTTCAGTCTTGTATACCATTGGAGTTTTGGGTAGATTGCATATTGTCTGCAGTGTTTCTGATCAATCGTTTGCCAAGTGTTCTCCTCTCAAACAAATCTCCTTTTGAACTTCTCCACAACAAGGTACCTGATTACTCTCTGCTTAAAGTCTTTGGATGCTTGTGCTATCAATCAACAAGTACTCATCAGCGACACAAATTTGAGTCTAGAGCCAGGGCTTGTGTATTTCTTGGTTACCCTGCAGGGTATAAAGGCTATAAGTTACTTGATTTGGAAACTAATAGTATTCACGTTTCAAGGCATGTTGTTTTCTTTGAAGCTATATATCCTTTTGCTGATAAGAAACACATTCCTCAAGATATTTTTGATGAATCAGTGTCTACTACAGTCCCTCATGACATTTCAGAAGAATCCTTGTCTGTTGATAGTAAGACAGTGGAATCTGTACCTTCCTCTAATGAAACTGTGGACATATGGTCTAAAAGGAAGTCAAAACCACCTGGTTACTTACAGGAATATTATTGTAATGCAGTTCCGGATGTACAGAAAGATGTCAGGTATCCTATCTCAGCCTATATTAACTATGCTCAGCTCTCTGAAGAATTCACTGCTTATATTTGTGCAGTAAATAAGTATCCAGAACCCTGTACTTATGCACAAGCTAAGAAAATCAAAGAGTGGCTTGATGCTATGGAAATAGAGATAGAAGCGTTGGAATCAACTGATACCTGGTCAGTTTGCACTCTCCCTGATGGTAAGAAACCTATTGGCTGTAAATGGGTTTTCAAAGTAAAACTTAATGCTGATGGAAGCCTAGAGAGGTTCAAAGCACGCCTAGTGGCTAAAGGGTATACACAAAAGGAAGGTGAAGACTATGGTGATACTTTCTCACCAGTGGCCAAAATGACAACAGTGAAAACACTACTTTCTGTTGCAGCTGCTAAGGAATGGAGTCTCCATCAGTTGGATATTTCGAATGCCTTTCTCAATGGTGATTTAAATGAGGAGATTTATATGAGTTTGCCTCCAGGATACTCTATGAAGCAGGGAGGAATCTTACCTCAGAATGCAGTATTGAAATTACAAAAGTCCTTGTATGGATTAAAGCAAGCATCACGGCAATGGTACTTGAAGTTCAGCTCAACATTGATGAATCTTGGCTTCAAGAAATCACATGCGGATCATACTCTATTCACTCGTATATCTGGTAATATCTACACTGCTTTACTAGTATACGTTGACGACATTGTTATTGCTGGGAATAATGATGTTGCTATAGAGGAATTAAAGATTGATTTAGCAAAGGCTTTTAAGCTTAGAGACTTAGGTCCTCTTAAGTATTTCTTAGGCCTGGAAATTGCTAGATCGAAGAAAGGGATTTCAGTTTGTCAGAGAAAGTACACACTGGAATTATTAGAAGAGACTGGTTTATTGGGTTGCAGACCTTCCACTATTCCTATGGAACCGAGTGTGAAATTAGCTCTTCACAGTGATGAACCAGATTTACAGAATCCTGAAGTTTATAGACGATTGATTGGGAAGCTCATGTATTTGACAATTACAAGACCTGACATTACATATGCGGTCAATAGATTGTGTCAATTCTCATCAGCTCCTAAAGCCTCACATTTAAAGGCAGCCTACAAAGTGATTCATTATCTAAAAGGAACCATTGGACTGGGTTTATTTTACTCTGCTACTTCAGACTTGTGTCTCAAGGCATATACTGATGCTGATTGGAATTCATGTCAAGACTCCAGAAGATCTACATCAGGATATTGTATGTTCCTTGGAAGTTCTTTGATTTCTTGGAAATCTCGGAAACAAGATGTATGCTCTGCTTCTTCTGCTGAATCTGAGTATAGAGCGATGGCCATGGGAAGCAAGGAGATAGCTTGGCTTGTGAAGTTACTCAATGAGTTTCAGGTACCTCAAAACAAACCTGTTCCTCTTTTTTGTGACTCTACTGCAGCAATTCACATCGCCAACAACTCCGTCTTCCATGAGCGTACGAAACATGTAGAGAATGACTGCCACATTACTCGTGATCGGATAGACCAAGGCTTGCTGAAGACTTTGCATGTGCAAACTACAAATCAGATCGCCGATGTTCTTACGAAACCACTATATCCTGCTCTTTTCCAATCTCTTATAGGCAAGATGAGTCTTCTCTCCATATACATCTCATCTTGAGGGAGGATATTAGTGTATAAGATTGGTTTAATGTAAACTGATAACCGAGTGTGGTTATCTCAGTTAACCGGAACTCTCCCCTATAAATAGAGGGTTCCATTGTAACAAACTTCTTAAGAGAGTATAACAGAATTTCGTTATCTTCTTCGTTTCTCTCTTGAATCTTTCTACAACTATCATTTCTAAACTTTTTATATTACTGATCATTTTGTGGTGGTTAATTAACATTCTTTTGTTGAAAATTATATCGGTCATGCATTTTTGTCACACTCTATTTTTTTTATAAAAAAAAAATAACGTTTTGGGACGATGATGGATGTTGAACTTCCATTTCAGGATTTGGTGGAACGATACAATTAAAAGGCTTTGGAACCTGAAGAACTTATAAGGTTAAAGGATGACATGACTTTATAAAGAAATGCAATCCCCATATAATAGTCCTAATTTAGGAAGAAATGGGTGACGTGAGTTTAAAGAAGAAAGGACGTCATGATTCCATTAAAACAACCAATAAGTTGGTAGCTTGGTGCTGACGTATACCGACTTTTCCACCGTCCATATATCGGACGACGATGGTTCTTTGTAAATGACCTTCTCAGTTCTTTCTTGGCATGTGTATTAAATTAATAAGGCTCCACTACCCGGAAAATTCCGAGTACAAATAATATGACAATAATGTCAAACTTTTCTTATTTTTAGTTATTGTTTAAAAGAAGGATCCAACACGAGTACTTCACACAAAATTAATCACGTCTCATAATTACTACTTTCATCCAAACACGGCCAATGCAAAACTTTTGATGAGATTTAGTGCATTATTGACATGATCGCTTTACATTAACTTTAAATTTAGTATCTGTATTTTTTCTTTAAATTTATGTTTAGATTATGTACCACTCAAAATGTTTTCGTCCTAGCTAGAGTGTCATATATATTCACTTTTTCATCTAAATGCTATTTTAAACTTGAATGGTAAAATGGGAAAATATCGAAATTTTAGATAATTAGGTCTCTCTAGTCTCTATAGTATATTTAGCTACTCCAAAATAAAATTGTGTTTATACAATTATAGTATTAGATTACCAAAATTGTTATATATAGTCCTGTGATTCTATTTTGATGGTCGAGATCCAAAGAAGCAAGCATCCACTATGTGGTCACATGCGAATATTTTGTAAGTATACAACCATCTATCGAAAACAACAACAAAAATAGTAATAAACTATTCTGTTAATTTGACCCAAAAGAACGATTCTGATCCTATTTTTTATTGATATGAAAAACAGTAAAAAATTATGTAATGAATGAAACACGTAGAAAGGAAACAAAATAAAAAAACGTGCTGATTTCTGTTAAAAGAATAAAGTGGGATCCAAAAAGTCAGCGTGAAACATGTGATACGATATAACGACACGGTCCTATGACTAAGTCCACTCCAATCCGGTGACGTAAACAGCATCACTCATAGCTTCTTGTGACGCAGATCCTTACGTAACCATCGTTGACGCTAGACTTTTCTCTCTGTCTCTCTTTCTTCATTTCTATACTATATATAACAGAACCTTCCATTTCCTAATTGGTATCTATCTTTAAAACATACTTGAAAATGCAAGGAACGATTTCTTGTGCAAGAAACTATAACATGACCACCGTCGGGGAATCTCTGCGGCCGCTACCGCTTAAAACTCAAGGAAACGGCGAGAGCGTTCGGATGGTGGTGGAGGAGAACGCGGTGATCGTGATTGGACGGAGAGGATGTTGCATGTGTCACGTGGTGAGGAGGCTGCTTCTTGGACTTGGAGTGAATCCGGCGGTTCTTGAGATTGAAGAGGAGAGGGAAGAGGAAGTCTTGCGTGAGTTGGAGAGGATTGGCGGCGGAGACACGGTGAAGTTACCGGCGGTTTATGTAGGAGGGAGGTTGTTTGGAGGATTAGATAGGGTTATGGCCACTCATATCTCCGGTGAGTTAGTTCCAATTCTTAAGGAGGTTGGGGCTCTGTGGTTGTGAATATTGTAATCAAATTTTTTTTAGTTTAAGAATTTTGATTCGGTAATGGTTATTAATCGGTTTAGTTTTATAATTGGATTGTTTACTGTGTATGTATATAAAGAAATAAATAAAAACGTAAAAAATCTTAAGTTGAAATTCGCTAGAGATTGTACTAGTTAATTTGTAGAAAAATGGTACCCACTAATTTTAATTGGTCTCATTGACTCACTGTTTAGGTGATAGTGATTTAAATGTGACTTTAATGCTCCTGTTTGGGGGTATGTGGTTTCTCAGATTTGAGAAATCACAAATGCCAAAATATGAGAGACCCCTTGGATTGAGTTGAAAAAAGTGAGAGAGATGGAAGATAGAGAGGAAAAAAATAGTCAACACACTCAAATATTAATTATGAGGATGAATAAAAACAGAGGTTAAGTTTCCTCTTGCGGTTTCATGAAACGATATGGATAATAACAGAAAAGCCAATTATTGGATAATACTGTACTATGATCTGTCTACTAATTTTGAGTTTAGTGAAAAAAATGGAGATAACAACTTTCATAGTCTTTCATGGTGGAAAAGTATCATCAATGTTTTTTTTTTTGTGCACCCATGCAGTATTCAATAAAGAGAACGAATCAAGATTCTCTAAAGCTCAAGCATGTTTACGATTGAATTAGGCTGAGTTGAAACAACAAAGAATACATTCAGGAGGACAATGAAGAAAAGCTAGAAGGTCTTTTAGCAAAAAAAAAAAGAAAAAAAAAATGCTAGAAGGTATCAACAGTACTGATGTATTTGCAACGAGATTAATTGTAAAATAGTGATTAATATATTTCATTCTAATCTTTTTACTATCTTAGATTCAAGATGTGTTTGAATTAGACACTTAAATGTGTTTGATCAATCTTAGATTCATGAATTTTGGGATCATGGTGTTTGGTAAGGCGACAAGCTTTTACTTTCGATCCATTTAATTTGTATGTCTTCTTCTCCTTGTAAAGCTTAAGTTGAGTCATTGTAGGATTTGCTGGAACAAAGGTGAATACGTATACTCGTTAATGCTTGAAATTGACGGTTTAATTTCAACATCTTGTGCATCATAGTTACCATAATAAAAGCATGTCAGGAAAAAGCAATTGAGTCACATGTTGATGTCGTACGTTCGTCATCTTATGAATTAAAATAAATATAAATAAATTAAACACCTTATTACTTAAGATCTCTTCCAACTTCCGATGTGGGACATTATGTCCTAATACGCCCTTTCGAGATGATGACTCTTTGGCCATTAATCTCGGAATATTCGGGCTTAGATCGACGGCATCAATTTTGGGCCTTGTCGATGATTGGACCATCTTTAGGTCGGATCGGGTTGGACATGTGTGGATCGGGCTCTGATACCATATTACTTAGGATCCCTTCCAACTTCCGATGTGGAACATTATGTCCTAATACACCTCATGCTAAACTCATAATAATTTCTGTTTATATATCAATTTCATGCGAAATTTTGGCAATTAGAACTTTTTTTAGTTAGTTGACATAATTTCGGGCTTCAATACATTTCTAATTTCTCTTTGTCAAAGACTTTTTCTATTTAATGCACACGATTAATCTCACTGCTCACGTGAGAATTGGTAACGGTGTAACGCCACGCCCAAATTCCTCACTGCTCCAAATTTATTGGATCTTTGCTCTTCTTGGTATAAGCAAATGCTAAAGATCGATCGAGAAAATAAAACAAAATTAAGGTTGATTTCCAAACTCAAGAAATAAAAAATTGATTAAGGTTCACACTAAACAAAACATTAGTACGGAAAGCTTACTTAACTAGAATAATTTTAGATTTTAGAAAATAAATTTTTTTATTTTAAAATAGTTATAAAATTAGATATTATATATATAGGTCTTAAAATTAGATCACGGAAATAATTTGCAATTTAACAATGAAAAATATTGTGGTGGTTAATTATATTTGCCTATCCTGCAGGCAATAAGAACTAGTAATCTTGTTCTTCTTTTTTAATTTTTACACAAAAAATAATTCTCGAGCTGCATACTGCAGCACATCGGATTTAAATCCATATACAACTAATACAAGTTCTTAATAATAAAACAAATTACTAGACCAAGAGTTCCGGTTTCCAAATTTCATATATTTTATTTGTTTCATAATTTCATTTGTTACAATAATTGAAGGAAGAGCTATTACAGTATATATTGTTTTGACATATTTTATCTAGAAGTAAAGAAATAAAAACAAAGATTTGTAATGTCTCGAAGTTAAAGTTACGCCCCCAATTTAATCATAAAAAAAGGTTAAATCCTAAAATCTCCCAAAAGCTTTGAGAAAGATTACTATGATAGTTACCCAACACCTACACACAAAGAATATGTGCTCTCTCATTCTTTTCCTCATCTTTACTCCAACAAAGCACCTCCATTTAAATATAGTATGTTCTATTGATTCTTCATGAAGCTTTCTTTACCCTTACTTGCATCACAAGTAAAACTAAGAAACGAACATGACCCATCGCCTTCACGAACCACCAACTCTCGAATTACCTGCGTCGTCGGCTCTTCACTTTTACCTCCATGTTCATACCCAAAACCCGTCTGAATATTATCATAACTAAACCGGTTTAGGTTTACGAGATTTTTCGGTTTAGGTTCCATCGAACCGCCACATTGCCTAGGCTGTGTTTGGTAGAAGACTTTAGAGAGGACAGGTTCACCGTCTTTTTCGTCCTCGCTGCTACCTAAATGATACTGATGCATCACCCAATTCGTCTTCTCAGGCTTCTTCTGGCGGCCATAGTTGGTATAGAGCACTAGGATCTTCTTGAAACCGGCTTCTCCTGATTGAGACAAAACGGGTCGGGTCTTGCCCGTTTTGTGCCACCTTGTTTCGTGACCTTCCTCATCTGTGCTAACTTTTCTACGTTTTCGTGTTCCTGTCGTATAAGCCTTTGATGGCCGGTGGAAGAAGTGCCGTACTTGCCCGTCTTTGCTTACTCCTACTTGGGACAAGATGTACTTAAGTTAAGCATATGTTGATCTAATCACCAATCACATTGGATTTGATGATTTCACTTTTATAATCTAAACCAAAATTTTAGAGACAATGCTATTTCACAAAACTTTACTTAATTCATGTGATCATTTGTTTTTGTGAGAAAACCAACATTTACACTTCTGAACAAATATTACATTTTATCAAATCTAGCAATCATTTTTTTTTTGTAATTAAACCAAAATATATGTGTCTCTACAAATTTCTTTAAAACCGAAAACTCTAATATAAACGGGTAAAGCCAAGAGTGTTTGTGTAGAATCCGTATGCAAACATGTGTTACTTTTGACCCAAATTTTAAATGAAAATCACAATAACCAAATTGTCATTTTTGGACAATTCTCCTTGTTTTTCATGGTGCCAATTGAGTTATTTTTAAGAAAAAAATCGTCAATAGTATTAATTTATCTCTATTTTTTTTTTCTTTTCTCTGTGTTGATGTTACAAAAAGAGAGCGTTACGTACCAGGAAGTTTCTCAGGATGCGTATAACAAATTCCATTCTCTCCTTCAAGCGTAGGTATAAATTCATCGATCAAGGGATGAAGTTTTCGCTTATCTGATGATACCTTCGCCTCTAAATGCATAAGGATCTCTTTATCCGACGGGTCGAATTTGACTCCTGCCGGTAAGCTTGGTAAATCTTTGATGCCACCAACCTTATCAAATTTCATTTATTTTCACATTTATATGTACATGTCAAAATAATCTAAAGTAATCATATTAATAACTAGAGAACATTTAGGTGAAATAACATATGTAACCTGGTCGTCTTGGTGATGGATCTTGTGTCCACAAGAAGGACAAGAACTCATGATGGGAGTTTCAACGTTAAATTTGGAATCTGGACCGCTCGTGACACATGATTGAGATTGGTCTTTGAGTTGAACCGATGGATGATCAATGTTTGATACTCTTTTAAGATTAAGATCGTAGTTATCATCTGAACCATCACACCAACTCATCCTTCTTATTTTACTGATCTCTCTATACAGTGACCTACAAAATCTAATTACAATCAGAACTATCAAACGATAGAATCAAGAGAGAGAGGGAGAGAGAGACAGAGCTAAAGATGAGGAGGTGATATAGAAAGAGGGGCAAGTGAATGTTAAGTTTTGGAACTAAAATTTAATTATACTATATTAAATTAAAATGGTGTACTAAAATAATATTTTTGGGAGGTTGCGTGGACGTCAAGTTTATGAATGGTGTATATACATACGTTTGCAACAAATAATTAATAATTACATTTTTCAAAATTTTGATTATGACTATTTTGAATCATTTTTAACTTTTTCTAGTTTTCACAGTTGAAATATTTAATGTGTTATAGCTAGCTAGAGTGGTGAAAAATTGTTCAACTGTGGGATCCAACCACAATTAGGAAAAACCCCTTCAAGAGAATATTAAACTAAATAAAGATATGGAATTTATAAAAGAAAAAAAAAGAAGAGAAAGCTAATCTCTTCAAAATCAAGAAAGGTGACGAAAGATGGAGTGTCGTTATTGAAACTCATTTTCTTGTCCTTACTATTAGGGATAATATTATCTCACATTGGAAAGGACAAGAGATCTTGATTAGTATATAAGATGTATGGGCCTCTCCTCATTGCCAATTGGTTTTGAGTTGGAAACCCATATTTGGGATAATATTATCCCACATTGGAGAGGCCCATATATCTTATATACTAGTCAAGATCCCTTGTCCTTTCCAATATGGGATAATATTATCCCTAATACTTACTATTTTAATTTTTGCCAATTTTATTTATTTTTTTCTTCAAGATATCATATGCGGATATGCCATAACATGATCTTGACTGATCCTTTAACAGATTATATTAAAAAAAAAAAAAAAAATCCAAGAACAAGATCGTGTGATGAATTATGCAATGGAAAACGTTAAGTTATGCGCCCGATTATCATTTACAAAATATATAATAGATTGAAGATAAAATGTTAGATCATATACACCACCTATCATTTTACTTATAGAAACTTGAATATATATGTTGGACCAACTTGGTGAAGCCATAAGACCATATCTTCACGCACAGAACAAACTCTCGTGTTAAGCAAGTAACCTATACCCAAAATTCTCATATTTTGGCTCGTTGACAATGGATTCTCCACCAATAGTTATTAACTTATATTTTTCTCAATCTTGTCTTAACGGAGCCCTAATATTGATTTTTTTAAGCTCGCCACAATATTTTGAAACGATCTATAATTAATTAGAATGGTACAACCATCGATAAATGTTTACGAGGAGGTCAAATATTTTTTGTTAATGCTATGGGAATTCTGTTTATTTGCGTAAGCAGTCGAGTCCTTACACATGATCCTCGATGGAGATGCGAAGCTTCTTCAACAAGAAACTAATAATCTCAGCCCAAAAGTAAATTATGAAAAAAGACAAATGCAAAGAAACGAAACAGCTTACTGAGAAAGCTTTTAGAAATGATTAATTTTGTATATTTCATCCATTTTAATTTTCAAATAGATCTGTCTTTTCATCCAGTATATACTATACTTCTATTCAATTGTATTCTATTTACAAATATGTCATTAGAATTTAATATCAAATAATCAATCGATTTTATTGTTTTAAATGTTTTATAAGAAAAATATTTAATTAACATAGATCCTATTATCAAAATTAACACATTACACTATATATTATAGTATTACTATAACTTCTCGAAATGGCAAAATGGTGAGACCAAAGTTATGTCCTAGCAAGTATCAAATATTTTTTGTTAATGCTA